CTTGCATTTGGCCTTGTTGAACCTCGTATCCTCTCCTTGATACTGAAGGCAACTGGTTGTTTAGAGACAACATTCAAAATGCATAATATATTCTTTTGTAAGTACCCTCCCTGATCCTGAGCAATGGTTTTGTTGTAAATAATCTGAAATTTGCTCAGATCACTCAGCCCTGTTGTAGTCAAATTCTAATCGAAAGCTCTATGAAACTTGTGTGAGCCCCAAATCAAGCTAGCTTATAGTACCCATCTGCATGACAGCCTTATTGTACTACTGCATTCTGTCTTCATATTCCTTGTATTGTTTAGTCTTTTAGGTTAGGCAGTTAGAAGTCTAGAAGGAAAAGAGCTGTATGAATAATTTGTATATTACCTATATCTAAGTAGATACAGAATTGTGATGGACTCAAAATGAGTATAATATAGGTATACTATAGGAGTCCAGTTCTCAGTGAGCAGGTGGGTGCATTTCTGTTTGCACCATGCAGTACAAAACAGTTTTCACAACATTGTTTAACAGTGCACTGTTCCTGTTCAGCCTAGTCAATTCTGAGTTTTCAGATATTCTCCACTAGGCAGCAGTCAGTAGATCTTCAAAGCACAGCAAAGACAAAATGGAAAGTTCTAACAAAGCTGTGCTGTTTTTTCAGTATAGCTTCTAACTCAGAAGTTAGGCAGGAATCAAACTCAGTGTTCGATTATTACACATCATAGGCTTATATTGTAATTTAGACTGAGAATCTATATTACAAAGTGCATGAAAGCGTTATTCTTGCTGAATTTGTAGTAAACATGAGGTTCATAAAGTCTTTATATCCATAAAACATTTAGTTAATCAAAGTCAAACATGGATAAAAACAAGTTACTCTAATTTACAGACTCCCTTCATCTGGAAACAGCTGCTTAATGTTCTTCTTAAAAACACAGCTTGATTCTTTCGGTATTAACAAGCTATTATTGTGAGTTATATCCCTCTTTCAGTGCATAAATTCACTTAAAGTGAATGTAGAGAAGTTTATAAAATGCAAGCTTAATGTTGTTGTAACATATGTTGCAAGGTTTTTAACAGTGACAGTTTTGATGAAAGACATTTCTGCTTTGCTCTCGTAAATAAAGCTTTCTCCTTGCTTGCCCTGCTTTTTAATGTCTAAGAATCTGTGTCCCCTCTGAGTGCCTCAACAAACTCTAACAATATTCTAGGAGAAGTGTAATAGACTCTGGTTAGTGTTTTCAGCCTTAAACTCATTTATTCTGAAGAGAAGTCAAACAGATGTATCTCTAATTCTGAAATATCTTTGAGCTAACAAATTGTCAAGAACAGTATAGAAATCCTACTTGTTGAGTCTTAGTTATAACCAAGCGATTTACCAACAGCTAGTTGTATAGCCTTATTTGTGCTGCACTTCCTTTGGCTCTTTATTTGATTGCTAAAGAAGCAGCTGGATTTGGTTTGGTTTTATCTGTCAAATTGTTTTGATTGTTTTTTCAGACAAAATTTATGCAAACATTGTAATTACTTGAATCATTGTTTTGTGCCTTTTTTTTTTACCCCAAGAGAAAAAAATACATGCAATCTCTCCAAGATAAAACACATTTTAGTTTTCTCCTTTGGATAAAAATTCTATTTATACTATGATAGGTTAGAATTGCTAAAGTTCTATGTGTGGCCCAGTCTTAAATTGTGTTTGCCTAGCAACGTATAAAATATAAACCAAACCAGACATTCCATCTCCATCTGATGGCCTGAGAGCATCACAACCACAGGATGCAAAGAGGCTGTTTGGATTGTGAATGCAAGACACAGCACATGTCCTTGGAAGTTGTTTTCTCTGAATCTCTCGTGTTTATTTTACTTTCTGAAGCATCTCATGAAAAGATGAGCTGTAAGCCAAGTAATGGACTAAATGAAAGCATGTAGAGTATCTTCAAAGACTTGGCCTTTTCTGAGAATTTGTTTTTCTTCTCTTCTCCTGTTTCTGCAGATCAGTAACCAAGATGTACTTAGTAAGTTTACATCCAGTCAGCATTATGCCAAAGTTCTCTTTTCATGATTTGTGGTAGGGGTGGTGCCTTGTTTTACAATTTAAGGTGGTATTTGTCATGATACATAGAGCTGGAGAAAGTCGAATAGAAAGAAGTCTTCTATAGCAAATAATGTGAGAAAAAGTTCTTTGTAGACAATCAACAGTCACTTACAAGAAGTCAGGTTAATTTTTAAATTCAGAATCTGAAAGAACTGTTAATTTTCTCTTTTAAATGCAGAAAAAATATACTAGGAAATGTTTTGTATTCTTTTCATACATTTTTTTTTACTTTAATATGGTTATTTACATATTATTTAATGCCATTTCTAGGTTGACCGCCAGTCGCAGTTTATCCAGGGCTACCGTGTAATGTATCGACAAATGTCTGGCCTGCCTTCTCCAGCTGTGTGGCAGAATTTGGAGGTCAAAGTCCCAACTGAACGTAGTGCTGTCCTTGTCAACTTGAAAAAGGGGGTCACTTATGAAATTAAGGTTCGCCCTTATTTCAATGAATTCCAAGGAATGGACAGTGAATCCAAGTCTGCTCGTACCACAGAGGAAGGTAAGTAAAATGATCGGAAAAGCAACAGGCTTCCATACTAGCACTGGAGGAGAAACCAAGAGTGGTTATCATATCTATGTGTATACTCAGCTCTCTTTCTGCCATATGTTTGTTAGATATAGAAATGGTATTAGAATTCAATGTAATATTCAGTTTTGTGCTGTAAATATTCCATGAGAAAGCACTGCACCAGTCCTGTGCTCTTCTGGCTGATATGTCCTTCTAACGTACAAGTGGCTTTGGTTCTTTCAAAAAGTGTGCACTGCAGCCATTCTTTTAAAATACTTTGGTCTGCACTTTGAAAATACAATTAATAAATGAAACCTTTTAGAGATGAGTGTTTGATATTAAGCACGTCTTTCTGAACAGGTAATAATGTAGATAAAGAGTTTAGTTGGGAAATGGGGACTAGTGAAGGACAGATATTATTAATAGTCTGAAGGGGCTCCAGTCTCAAGGGCATGCCATTTTATTGTTTCTGTTAGCACACCATTTATGAAACTTCCCTATTTAGTCCTTTGGAGCGTTTCCTTAAGTACCTTTTCAGCCTCTGAGAAACACGCAGGATGCAGATGTAGGAGATGGTTCACGCTACTGAGATGAGCAAGCATTTATATCTATCACATGTGGCATGGTATAGAGTTTTATTAAAACATATGCACTCCAGTACAGTTTGTTTTTTTTTTTTTATGGAAAAGTAGAGGGAGTGAAATGAGATATAAGTAATGTTTATCTTTTTCTCCTAGAAATGTACAAGAAACATGTCTTTCTACTTAATACAACCTTTGCCTGGAGAATCTCTCCTTGTAAAAGCAGAAGGATGATCCTAGCAATGAGGGTTCATCTTCTCTCAGTTTCATTGATTTCTTTCAAAGCAAGGGAAAGAAATATTGGTGAACTTTCAAAATGCTTATATGGTTTTGATGGGTTTTGAGTGTACTCTTTCCTTCCTATTGAAGATGCATCTTAATACATACAGTAGTCTCCTGAGGTTTAATTTAATGCTGATTGCAAAGTACTTTTTAATTTTAAAATGCACTCACTTATTGCTCACTTTTCTCTTTGATTTCTTATGATTATTACCCAACAAGTAAGTAATCCTTGAAGATAGCATGGTTGGCTGTCGTACTTTATAGATGAGAAAATTCAGTGTCTTGCAACATTTAGAAGAGCACATAGGAAGGCATTGTTCAAGTGTGATTTAGAACTTGGCAATTCGTGGTTCCTATTTCTTTGTTCAGACTATAAAGCCTACATCAGCTGGTAAAGAATATCTTTGCAGCATTTAAAAAGAAAAAAGCTTTCTAGAGGTGAAATTGCTTTTCTAGAGTTAAAATGTAGGATTTTGACCTCTCACTAGCCGGTTTTCTTCTTCTCCAGTTTCAGTTGGTTTTGCTTGTTTATTTAGCTTGTCTAACTCTCTCTTGGTGAAAGTAAATGAAGAATTGCTGAAAAAGAGAGAGAATTTTGTACCTCCTGTCTACTTCTATGAAATACTTGAGGAATGACATTTTCTTTTATAAATCTCAGCTGCCAGCAGAGCCTGTCAGGTAATTTCCTACTTTAAAGGCCACTTCGTTCATGTGGAATAACTTCACATATAGTGAAGATTTAAAACATTTCTGTTGCTTACAGATATGTATAACTCACAGCCTAGGATCCACTTTGTAGATTAATATAACATTCAAGGAGTCTGTTTACAAGTATCTCTCTCAAAAAACCATAAAGCTGTAACACGTATGATCATCAGAGAAATGTCAGCCCCTGTAAATAATCATTCCTGTACCCTGGGTGATAGAATTAAGTACTTCAATGTGAAAATTAAGACATTTGGTAGATGCAATGCTATAGATATTTCCTTTAATTCCTCACATTATGTTTGTAATTATATTGATGTTCATGTATTTCAAAATAACATCAACTAAATGTTTAATGACAGTGGCTTGTTTCCCATCCAATGAGGAAAGATGGCAGTCTATTTAAAGTTATCCCACTTGCTGTGTTGCCTGTGATTCCATTTCGAAAATGAACTTTTTTAGGCTTGACTTTTAAAAAATGTCAGCTATGCTATTTTTAGAAAATAATTTGGAAGAGCGATAAGCACGTTGGAAGTTTTTTGCAAATTCAAAGCAAATAGCCCTGGTAAAGGCAAAATACAACCAAAAGGTAGTGGCAGGTTTCTGCTGGATTGAATTTTACATGCAGTGTTACTTCTGAGGCCTACCTCAAAAAATCAATTTTACTGCAGTTAGACTTTTCCTCTAGATCAGACATTTGTCACAGTTCAGTATCCATCCATCTCCTGCCTCTTTGGCCTTGTGAAAGTAACAAATGGAATTCTGTTTGGCTGCGTCTGGAAAAGATGAGCAGTGATTTGGGTTCTTTCATATCTGTAAGAAGAAGCTGAGCACTGGAATAATTGACCTGTCAAGAAGCAGGCAAGGTGTTCTCCACAAGCCAGCAGCAAGGGAAATGAGAAAGCAGTTTTTAAAATGTTATTTTTCAATGTGATCTATTTAATAACTTCAGCAGTGTCAGGTGAGTGGCTTAATTTATATCATGTTGCCAGCTTACAGAGTGATATTATCAGAAAGGAAGCAGAACTGTTATGTACATATATGTGTACACACTTAGGAAAAGGAGGTACATAAAATATTTTATTGTATAGTTTTCACTATTTCTTTCCAACTTGCTCTAGAGATAGATGATTTTTTTTCAATTACATGCACAGTTTTAAATCTCTTTTGGAGTTATATTTATTCTGCATATTGTGTGTGCCCACAAAAATATAACAGTTGGTAATGGAAGTCTGTTTAGTTTTTATCAGCTGCTGTCTGTCAATTCCTTCTTGCCTTAGTGCAGCTCTTAAAATGATGCTTTCAGCTGTATTCATCAGCTGCAATTTTAATTTTGCTTCAAACTTACCATATAGCCTCAAAAAAAAAAAATCCCAGCACACACTGGTAGAGTATTAACTAGAATATTTATGCAGTTCAAATGCATAGACAAATGAAATGTTTTACTTTAAATGTTAGAGTACAATATTCACTTACATTTCTTTAGGATTTACTCGCTCATCTCTCTCTCTCTGTCTCTGTGTATATAAGACATTTTATTTCTGAATGCCCTTTGTGTTTGTAGATGAAAGTAAATACATTTCAGCAAGTTTTTCCATTGTACTTAAAACCAAAACTGAGTTATATAGTGTCAAGCTTTGCTAATTTTACTATTCATGAAAAATGTCGTTCTAGTGAATGTCGCACACATAACTTTATTCATGGTTCTGTTGTTACTGAATAACTTGAAGACTTTTAAAATACTAAATTTTAAAATGCTAATTTTTTTATTGCGTGGCACATTATTTCCTTTGCCATAAAATACACAATGCAACTCTTAACTTCACCTATTTTACATGTAACACAATTGCAAGGAGTAGCCCAAGGCCACCTTTCCGTGCTTCGCTTGAGCTGGCTAAGAGACAAATTGTGCACAAAACAGTTCCTTTTCTCCCTTCCAGTGCGCTGTTTCTCTGCATCATCCAAGGTCACAAGGACTCTCCCAAGCACTGCTTGCTTTCCAGTTAAACTAGGATCTGAAAATATAGTTATCAAAATGTGCAGCCTCACAGGACAGTAATACATATGTCATTTTTCATCTTTTTTTTTTTTTTTTCCTGATGTAATGTTGTATGGTCTCTTATCCTCTCCTCTGATACCCTGGTTTTAAGTTTTGTGATTCCTGCAACAGGCTACTCCAACTCTTGAGAGTTATCAGGGTAAGGATTTGAGCTCAGCTCCCTGAGCCTTGCCAGGTCAAATTCTGAGGAGCATGCATAGCCAGTCTCAAAGAGGCCAGAGGGACCAATAAGGAAACCTGAATTGACTGAAGAGACTTGAATATTCCTGATGTCTGTGTCTGTGTCTAGTTGTGTTAAGTCTGCCAGACTTTAACACAAAAATGCCAGTGGCTCTTTGCTTTTCCGAGAAGCATGGTCCAAGTTTATTCATGCATCCAGGGATATCTGTTAAGGATGAGACTAGAGTCCTGTTGCCAGACAGCTTAGCAGTGAAGGAGTCCTCTCTGGATAGGAATGCTCTAGACCATGGGACTAGAGTCAAGGAGCTGTGACACTATGAAAGAAGCCCAAAAACAGAGGTCTATCTAGATTTGAAACTGGGACAGCTTGAGTGATAAATATTTTAGATTCTGGTACGAGGTCTGCTGTAAGTCTTCAAAATCAGGTTCCATAATTCATATTAGATATTTTAAGATCATATTAAAGACAATGACAAACACATGGAAGAAGAAAATCGGTAAGGAGTTATTAAACACAAAGACAAAATGTCTAAGTAACTGGCTTCTGTGAACTGGAAGTTGTCCTGGAGCGATATCACTGTATACTTGCTTTATTAGTTCCTACTTCCCTATTCTCTTTCTATTAGTTTTGTTAAAGACTGGATAGATGGACTGGGATAAATTGATTAGATGGATCCTAGGACCAGTAAAGTGCAGCTGGTATCAGTACTTTTTTCCCCAGGGACTATACCTTATTACAATACGCTTAACTTTGGTGACTTAGGTTGCCACTGTGATGGAGTTTCAACACTTGCCTAGAAGTAAGGGGTGGGGGGTGCTCAAGAAGTTTCAGTGGCTGAGGAGGGACAGAGGCCACAGCCCTCTGCCATGGCAGCTATAGCTGTGGTGGGAGAGCTCCCACGTGGAGATGCAGCAGATGCTTACAGAGGGGACTCTTCCCCAGCAGAACTGCCACTTCCCAAATGCGTCCTGAGCCAACAAAACCCCCCTGATGCTGGTGTAGCTGCAAGAGGGGCTTTACCAGCATAGCTGTCATGGCTAACAGCTATGATTTTTCTCCTTTTTTCACATTTCTACCCAACGTAGCAGGGCTGGAGAGCAATCATCTTGTAGATGTGGCCTTGATACACAGGGGGCAGCCAAACAGCTGCGAATGGTTGAACTGAACAAGGCTCTGAAGAGAAAGCAATTTGCCTAGGGAAAAGAGGCCATAAGTATACACCTGAGCTAATTTAGCACCTCCCCTGTTCGCTGACATTTAATGGAAAACCCCAAACACTTTAAACCCTTTTCTATCTAGGAGTTGCAAGGTTTTATATTTAAACCTAATGTTAATGTCTTCCTGGAGAGCAAATAGGAAACAAAGAGAGAACCTTCAATGTCTGCTGCTCATATGATTATTGGACCATGTGGGGAAAGAGAAATCAAAACACTTTTCAGGCCAGGTGAAGCAGCCTCACATTGTGACTTATTTGATATATCCATAGCTATCCATACATATTATGGAAAACAAATACAAGCATGAGAATAATTCCAATGCAAACTTAAGAAATGCTAAATATAAATAAATGAGGAGTGATGCGTATTGATTCTCCATTGCCACAAATTCCACATTGTCATTCAGTGCTGTGCTTCTCTTCAGAAAGGCATTTTTCAAAATTGTCAGAGCCTAACAAAATGTGCATACCTAGGTCTGCAGGGAGTGTGAGCCTTGTATGCTGTCTGCTTGCTCTTACACTGTTTCAGCAAAATTCATGCTCTAGCAAATGGATTAATGTCTTTTTTTCTGTTTGTTCCCTCTCTTTGGTGTAGCTCCAAGTGCTCCTCCTCAGTCTGTTACTGTACTGACAGTTGGAAATCACAACAGCACAAGCATCAGCATCTCCTGGGATCCTCCCCCTCCAGATCACCAAAATGGAGTCATCCAGGAGTATAAGGTAGAAATGATGTCTAGTAGGAGGGTTGAGTGTTCAAGGAAACAGCCTGCTTGAATTACAGAACAATAGCTCTGTTTATGGATTTAGATTCTGACAGCATTTACAGCTGCCCATATAATTATATGGAGAAAGAGGAATGCTTATGTTTTGGTTTGGGTTTTGTTTTTTATTTAAAGCATTACTACTGTTATATTAAAGCAAAAATACCATAAGCTAGATCTGGAAGGGAGCTGTAATTGCCAGCTCATTTGCAGTGCTTCATTTTCTTTTCTCTGCTGTGGAATGAGAAGCAGCATTTTTTTTGTAATGGGTTTCTGCACTCTCAAGATAGGCAGTGAAGTCACTGTCTTAAGAGTGCCGTCAGTCTGGCAGAAAAGCTGGCAGGAAAGATACTTGTTTCCCCTTCAAAAATGCTAATCCAAACACTTCAAGGTCAAAGTCAAGGCCTGTGGCTCTGGGAGAATACAAGACTTCTTCTGAGGACTCTCTCTGTCAAGATTCACAACTTAAAGTGCTAGGTTGTCTGCTCTGATGAACAGGTTGCACACCACTACTATATACAAGGTTTGTTATATGAGAGTTGTCTGCATTGGTTGTGTTTTCTCCTTCTTTGTTGCAATTATGGCTCAAAATATCTGCTCCTTATGTATCATCTTTTTTTGGTTTGTAGCGTCTAATTCCCCACTAAGCTCACTTTTACAAATGGATATTTTCACAACACAGGAAAACTACAGCGCGTTATTGAGGTAGAGGACTATGGAGAAGATGATTGGGCAATGTTCAGCATTGTCACAGGCTTATAACCAGGGAACCAAATGTTCATTAAAAAACTTTGCTGTGGCTTGATTGTATACCTATTGTGAAATTTTAATTGAATTAGGGCAGGGCAGATTTCTTGACAGTCCCACAAAGGGTGGAAGTGATGGATGAAGCTTATTTCACACAAAAATATGTAATTTTTTTTTCCCTGCTGTGTCTTGGGGGAACACAACATCAAGAAGGGAGAAAGCGCCTGACTTTTAAGTGAACTAATGGTTCAACCTCTTCCATCTTTTTTCTTGGTCAGAGGGATGCAGTAAATGCTCACAATATTTATGTTTAGCATAGCACTTCTTTTGTTTTGCTTTTAGTCAATATCAAGATTTATTAATCCCAGTGTTTTATTGATCTCTTTTTCATATCAATTAATAATTATCTTTTGGCTTAATTAATCTTGATACTGACTCCAGTATAAGTCAATACTAACCATCAAGGGATTATAGGCAGATAAGCAAAGCACACTCCTAAACCACAAAATACGTAGATATGAAACAAAGTGGGCTGCTGGTTAATAAAAGCCATGTTCCAGGTGAGTGCTCAGACCTCTGGGCTGTTTATAAAAACAGCTGGAGTCACTACCTATTGCCTCCCTTCTGTGTTAGGTTAGATTAGGTGGCTGCCTGGTTAGTGAGCTGGCTACAGCGCATGTAGTGCGAAGAGTCTAATACTTCCTTGAGTATAGAGTGACTGCTGAGGTTTCACAGTACATTTTCTAACAAATTGAATGTAGATATGTTGATTATACTTCAAGCATCAGAGTGCCTGTAAATTAATTTAGAAATTAAATGCCTTTAATTAGGGGAATCTCATAGCTGCTGTAACCTAAGACCAGGGCAGACAAGGAATGAAAGAATGAATGCAATGGTTTCTCACCCTAATGCATTCTGGCCTGCAGATAAGATCTACTTGATCTTAGAACAAGGGCTTCTTTTGCCCTCCAAATCTTCCTCAGTGTTTCACAGAAGAAAGATATAGTAAAATAAAACACTGAGCAGGGTCAAAAATAATGGTAAAGAGAGCATTGCTGTTGCTTAGACACATCAGGTAGTTGTTAATAGTGGTTCCACCAATAGCGATTTCTTCTGTTATGTATTGTACATATTGTAATGATGTAATCTTTATCCATTGATTTCCTTGAGTGGTAGTAAATGCTCTCTTGGATAATATAGGAGCAATACATGCAGATAACATTAACTGAAGAATTAACTGAGAATCCTTAAACAGTCTTAGTTTTGAGACTTCTTGGTAAAAGCTTACAGAAAAATGCAAGATAAATAGCATTCTGAAACCATGGATCATTCTCATTACAAAATGCCAATTGTTATTATAGAGTGTTTTTTCAGTTTAATTAGAGATTAATTGAATCAGGAACTGATATCTGGATTCCTAAACAATGTAGGTAATCACAAAAGCATCAGTAAAAAGTGAGTTTGTATTGTTTATTCCATTTCAGAAATTTCACATATCCCTGTTGTGCAGTGAAAGGAAGCTGAAAAGGAGTTTGAAAATTCTTTCTCTTTTAGTACTTTGAGAAGTGCTGTGCTTGTGTTATTTTGTGTCCTTTTGGTATTCAGTGGGAAATCAAGAATGTGGGAATTTTAAGAAAGGTTTGGTGACGATCATATTACTGAACAGGATTTCAATTAATGTATAACACCTCTTTTTTACTTGGATGATTCTGGTCTGTGCTTTGGTGAACTGTAACCACACTCTGTGGAGAGCCAGAGACCAGAGAGGTATCTGCAAGCAGCCTTTGCGACTGTCTTGGTCCTGGGCTAATCTGGGATAATTTGCTGAGCTAAATCATCCCAATTCCAGCTACTCCTGGACAGTAACATTGTTAAGTAATCCAAAATAGGTGATTGTCATGTACTACCTAGATATGTCATATCCATGCACAATTGTTTATGAGTATGAAGAATTTCGTATTTTTTAACATGTCAACTTTTGTCCCAGATCTGGTGCCTTGGTAATGAGACCCGATTTCATATCAACAAAACAGTAGATGCAGCCATTCGGTCTGTAGTAATAGGTGGCCTATATCCAGGGATCCAGTACCGTGTGGAAGTTGCTGCAAGTACCAGTGCAGGTGTGGGAGTCAAAAGTGAGCCACAACCCATAATAATTGGTAAGTGATTGTGTATTTTGTTGTTTGGTTTTGCCTGGTTTGACTTTCAGATGTGTTTTCGTAAATCACTTCTGGAAGCATAAAAATCCATGGAGCAAAGGACGAGATTTGGGTAGAGCTACTTAGTTTTTAACATCCCACTGCATGCTGATGTTTATTATCTCTTTGTACATAGTTCTTGCAGCCAGTGGAGGCAAATACGTTCCCAAGACATATGAGAATATGCAGATTATCTGGTGAAACTGATTTGATATTTTTTAAAATTAATTTACCATTTCTGCAGGTCAACACATTTATAGAACTAACAGCTTGTGCTCCCTTTTCCTTCTGTTCAGATGACTGTAATACTACCTCACTTAGACCATTGGTGCCCTAAACACTATTTACAGTTGATCATCTGAGCATTTTGTAATCAGTGTTTCTCAGGTATCATAACCAGACAAGCTTCCTCTGCCAAAGAATAAGTGGCCTCTAGTCCAAACTGAGACCAGAGGTAGTATTATCATCCTTGCCATTGAAATGACTGTTTCTTTACATTCCATGCTGAATTAATTTCCTGACCTGAGGGAAACAGAATCTTTTTCTTCTGAAATTCTTCTCAAGTACAAAATAAAAAGGCAGGAGCAATAAGGGAAGGGCAGGAATAGAAGTAACCATATTTATCAAAACTGAATTGAGCTGTGCAGAGCAGCACTTCTTTTGACTGCATAACACAGTTGCTTTTGTCTGCATGATCTAATTTAGTTATTACTTAAATGGGCTTTTATTTGTTTGTGTCGTCTGTTGTTATTAAATCTTTTCTTTCTAGTAAATATTGTCAACACAATGTCCCAAATATGGACTACCCTCTTATGTGTAGACCTTTAGAAAAGGCTGTGCCCTACGTGTGTCTTAAATGCTTAGTGATATTCAGGTTCCTTGTGCATCAAAACAGAAATCAGGATACTTCAGCTTTGACTATATTGGCACTGGAGAAGGAAATATAAGAGTGAAGGTGAAGGTAGCACTGTTTTCAGAAAAAGGCAGGCACAGAAATACCAAAGAAAAGTGGGGAAAAAAGTATTCCAGAAATGAAAGCAGGAAATTGAATTTTGAAAATGCAAGAAACTTGTCATCTAATAGGTCTGAATTTTGGATTCATCATCTCACAAGACTTTGTGAGATGTGTCTGTCATTGCATTTGCTTTTGTCATGGTTCAACCCCAGCCAGCAACCGAGCACCACAAAGCCGCTCACTCACACCTCCTCTTCCACCTAACCACCATGGGAAGGGAAGGAGATTTGGGAGAAAAAGGTAAAACCCTATGGGCTGAGACAATGACACGTTAACAGATAAACACAAAGAGAAAAGAAACAACAGTAATAACAATAATACTAATGAAATAATACATAAAATGCGTGGTATACAACATGACTGCTCACTGCCCCAGCTGCCACTCGCCCTAGCCCTTGGCTGTAGGGCACTCAAATCATGCACCTTTCCCCCAACTGCCTTCCCCCTTATAAACTGGGCATGACATCAGTATGGTATCAAATATCTCATTGGCTGGTTCAGTTCAGCATGCTGGCTGTGGCCCCTCCCAGCTTCTTGTGAAAATTAACCCTAACCTAGCTGAGCCCAGGATAGCTTTCATAGAATCATAGAATCATAGGGGTTGGAAGGGACCTCGAAAGATCATCTAGTCCAACCCCCCTGCCAGAGCAGGGTCACCTAGAGTACATCACACAGGAAGGCGTCCAGGTGGGTTTTGAATGTCTCCAGTGAAGGAGACTCCACAACCTCTCTGGGCAGCCTGTTCCAGTGCTCCGTCACCCTCACAGTAAAAAAATTTTTCCTGATATTCACCTTGAACCTCCTATGCTCCAATTTGCACCCATTACCCCGTGTCCTATCACAGGTCATCACTGAAAAAAGCTTAATTCCATCTTCCTGACACTCACCCTTTACATATTTGTAAACATTGATGAGATCACCCCTCAGTCTCCTTTTCTCCAGGCTAAAGAGACCCAGCTCCCTCAGCCTTTCCTCCTAAGGGAGATGCTCCACTCCCCTAATCATCTTTGTAGCCCTACGCTGGACTCTCTCCAGCAGCTCCCTGTCCTTCTTGAACTGAGGGGCCCAGAACTGGACACAATATTCCAGATGGGGCCTCACCAATGCAGAATAGAGGGGGAGGAGAACCTCTCTTGACTGACTAACCACACCCTTTCTAATGCACCCCAGGATGCCATTGGCCTTCTTGGCCACTAGGGCACATTGCTGGCTCATGGTCATCCTGTTGTCTACCAGGACCCCCAGGTCCCTTTCCCCTGCACTGCTCTCCAGCAGGTCTGCCTTGAGCAGGACTTCTTTTTCTTACTCTGCTAGGTTGTCCATTTAGCTAGACACTAAACACACTGAGCTTGTTCCAGCAAAACACTTGGGTAAGCTGCATTTTAAGCATGTGAGTAGCCTTGTGTGTTGTTTGTTAAACTTGCACCAAAGTGATTTGCTGGATGATTCCCAGAATGCTCAGCCCCACATCTGGGTACAGCCCTTCATCCTGACTTTTTCCCTACAAATAATGACTAGTATAACCAAAAGTTAAATATAGAGAGATCTGTATTGTTGCAGGAAGGAGGAAAGGGATCTTATGATACAAATTAAGTACAAAAGACAAAAGGTGTTTGGCATTTAGAGACTTAATTATCATTAAATTTGCAATGATACTTATTTGTTCCTTGAATGATCCCAGAATAGCTGCTCCAACAAGTTTGTCTGGTGGCTTCTTTGCACATTTAAGTGTCCTTTGCATGAAAAGTAAATGATAGTCTTCTATGTTGGGGCTGTGTTTCTGTTCTCATTTCTGCTTTTCCTTTTGTGAGCCCAAAGCTGGATGTGGTTATTACTAGTATGGTCTGTATCACTCCTTTCTTTAGGTCCCATTTTTCTGTTGCTTATGAATTGCTGGCAGTTATTTGTCAGACTATAAATTTCCTTGATAAGGTAACAGTGTTTAAGTGATACCATTTCTGGTAAATTTGAGTCAGTACCACTCGATGTTTCTTGACTGAGAATCAACAACATAAAATAAGAAAATAAGTTTTTTAGGTAATTAAAAAAAATAATTACATGTATTAAAAATGAGCTAATGAATAAACCTAAAAACATCATTATGAGTGGGAAAACATTACTGAGTGACTGCATTATAATGAGTCCTATATGGTCTGGTGCTTAGCTATTCTATTTAGCAGCTTGCAAACAGAATGAGCAACTACAGAAATGCTGAATTATGCAGAGAGAAGGTCACTGATGCAGAAGATTTAAGCTGTGTCAGTAAACACTATGACTTTAATTTTCATGAAATACAGAGTCCAGTGCATAAAAAGAAAGATGTTGTTCTTAGATATAGGCTTTGTTCTTCCAAGAATAAGGTTTGTTCTGAAAATAACTAATTTTCATAATGGATAATCAACTACTGACTTCACAGAGCGATTCTAGATAACAGACCCATGACAATCCAGAAAATAAAACCAGGAGAATGTGGAGCAGTAGGAAGTATGTTATCTCTTTAGTTAGAGAACGTGTTACTGTTACAGGAATCCTGTGTTTATACTTAAAGCAGGACATTGATAGATTTTATGGAAAACTCAAAGAGAATCAAGAATAAAATTTTTATGTTTGCTATTGATGTGCTAAAAAATTTCACTTGAAAAAACAGAAATAAAATTGGAACTAACAGGGATGTTGGTTAATGATATGGCTATTATTTCTCTTCATCATTTGGCCTGTTCACTCTTACATTCCATCATTGGCATAATAATATGAGGAACAGCTGCAAACTTTCACGGTAATAGGTACAATTGAATCTGATGTGTCTAATTAATTTTTGGTCCAACAAATTAGTTTTGTTCTTCATTACTCTCCAATGGGAGGAAGACATTATATTTCATTATGTTTTTGTCTTCAGGAACAATGGAGCGTTACAGGTCGCACACTTCCCTTGTCTATGCTCTAATTAGTTGAACTGACAGCATTGTTATAGAAACACCTGCAGTATATGAAATAGCACACTGGTACCTGGGATGACATATTTATTACTTCTGCTTAAATATCATATAAAGAAATACAAAATTAATGCTGTTTGTTTTCCCAGACCTCAACAATTATATTAATTTTATCAAACGTCGGTGGGCAACATTCATCCATATCCATTTATTTTGCAGTCATCAAATTCACTAAACATATGTTATTTTGACATATAAATTAATTATTACTTTTGCAGTTGTAATTGCTAGGCACTGAAGGGTAAGAGCAGACAGCCAGACTGAAAACTTTAGAAGGCAATTTGGAGACAGATTGTACCTTCCCCTAGAAGAGAGGGAGAGCATTAAAGTCCACGGAAAGCTCTCCCCAGGCTCTCTGCAGTTTGCTCTCGCATCCTCCATTCTCAAAAGACTGTTTTCTGACCTTAAGGAAAAGAAAAGGGGATCTCCAGACTTTTTTGGAGGCTTTAGCAGGAAGCAGTTTTTCTTTTCTTGAGATCAAGAGCATCCACTCCTGAGGCTAGTGTCCCTGAAGCACTTCCCTCCATGGCAGCACGGCTGCCTCCAAAGCAGCACTGACATTACCTGTTTCCTCACCGTCCCGCTGCTTTTACCTCTCCTCCAAAGGGCACAGAAATTAACTGAAAGTTAATGGCAATTAGAGCAACATCAACTCCCATGCTGATTTCTACTAGAAAATCAATTGTGTGCCTGGAAGAACATGCCGTAGAGTGCCTCTTTCTATTAGTTTTACCTTCAGCACTGGAGTGCACCTATAGATTGGTTCCATGGACATAAAAAAAGGGGAAAATCCAATAAAGGAGCCACTGCTGCCTCCTTTCTTTTCCTTACCTCAGGTGCTTACTGAGTTTTATTCTCGCTTACTGCATTAGGACTGGAAACCATGGGGCCTTTGGCAGTGGCAAGACAAAATAGGAAAGTGTGGGAAAGGACAGCTGCAGCTACCAGGCTCTGATGTTCCTATAGCTTACCAGCACGGCCAGTGTAGACTGGTACATGATACCAGTACCGGTGTACTGCCTCTTTATACATTAGCAGGTGTGTCTGTCAGCATCCTTCTGTGGGACCTGTTTGCTTTGCGGGAAGCCTGTTTTGCTTCTCCCACAGAACTACTGAAAGCAAGCCAAGCTCCAGCGCAGCTTCAGCAGTCTGTGTGCAGAAGCAGAAGGTCATCATTACTAACCATTGACATGGTGCTGGAAGAGAGGCAGCGTAACGAAATGGCCGCGGTCGCCAGCAGCGTGGCAGCGACGTGACACGGCACATCGCCTTTCTGCCCCAGCCGCCCCCTCCAGCCCCAAGCGCAGCCTGCGGCCTGGCGCTCCCTCCCGGCCGGAGCAAGGAAGGCACGCTTAGCCCCACGGGCCCTCTAGGGGGGATCCTCGTCTGGAGCTTGACTGCTGTAAACGCCGTGCCTTCAGCAAAGAGGTGTCCGTGGAGATACCACAGGAGGAGTCAGACTCCTCGCATCTGCTTTAGCCAACAGCCTTGTTTGTTTGCTTCAGGCCGAAGCGGGTGTGCTGACACGGGCTGTTCTGTTGAAAGAGGGGAGCGGTAAATTTAACCGTTGCTGAACATAGAAGAGGAATACATACATTTTCACAGCAAGGCATAACGCTGCAATGCTTCTAATAATTTCCTCTGAATTTCAATGGTTTATTGCCATATTCTATTACCATTATGTGTTTGATAGACTCACAATTGAGAATCATAGTATTTGCGTCTTTTTTGTTTCAGTAGAGTAGCTGCTCTTTCAGCTCTTCAGCATGCGTACAGGCATTTGGTAATACTGCAAAAACAGTCCAAGGATTGAGCTATATAAATGTTTTTACTGGAAATGATGGATAATTCTTTCACCAATTTCAAAACTGCAGATGTGGGCAGTTTACATCAAACATAGATATAATCAATATTCATAGTTTTTGCAGAAAAAATGTGTTCTGCATTTCCTAATTTTAAAACTAACTAGTTTTGACAAGGGAAGTTTTGAAGTAGAAAAGTGATGGCCCTAGAACTATATGCTTTAGCATTTCTTGAATTTCCATTCATATTTTTTGTAAGCATTTGTTTCAGGGATTTCTTTTCAAGCCAGGTAGCAAGCTTTTCCTTTTCGAAAAGTTCTCGTTTAGAGAAAGAGGTGGAAAAAAACAATGACAGCATCTACTGAAATTTACAGTTTTCTAATGTAATATGCACAATTTAATGTCCTATACAGTATTTTTTGACACATATCACTTTAACTGGTATTCCACATAATATTTATATCTTACAAGTTGGTGTTGAGAATTTTTCATGCCTGTTCTAGGTGAAAAAAAATAACATCTGTTGCTGCGGTTGTTTAGAGCTTACAGTTAACTATGTGATTTTCTGCTTTGTGACAAAGCTGGTGCACTTAGGATTTGTGTGGATTGTTTTCCCTATTAAAGAATTGCTGGAAAGTGCATCTTTGCCCCAGCTGAATAATGTATTTTATTTTTTATTTTAAATTTGGAAACTCTAGCATGCAACAAAAACAAATGAGTTAAGATTTTTTTGGCATGCTGACAACAATGAGAGAAGGAACCGTCTTTTGATGTTGTAGAATACTTTGTGTTTGGATTTCTTATTTTAACAAAACTGTTTATTGATTGCTTGATTTTTTTTTCCTATTGGTTTCCTATATCCGTTTTCTCATCATTGTATTCTGTCTATAATTATGCTAAAAAAAACCCGAAAACAATATGTATATGGTCTAAAAAAAAAATCTCTAGACTGTCCGCTGTTAGATTAACTGTCAGAGTGCTATAGAGCTATTGTTTCAAACATACATTTGCAAAATCACAATGGATTATGGGTTTATTTTCTAGAAACAGTAGATTTCAGGTGTACCTTGTTACTCATTAGAACTCTTCTACTGTGGATAATTCATTTGAGGCACACTACTGATGGGTTTTAATTTTCATTTGTGCTTACTTCTGGTTTTGTATTACAAAATCCTTAATAGCAACGTTCTGTTTCATTTTTTTTTTGTGCAGGAGGTCGTAACGAAGTTGTCATCACTGAAAATAACAACAGCATAACTGAGCAAATCACTGATGTTGTCAAACAGCCTGCCTTTATAGCTGGCATCGGTGGTGCGTGTTGGGTAATTCTGATGGGTTTCAGCATCTGGCTTTACTGGCGCAGAAAGAAGAGGAAGGGGCTCAGCAATTATGCTGGTAAGAACAGTAACTATTTATTACTGTCTCATCAGGTTCTAACATGAAGAGAACAGGTGCTCTTAAACCTACTTAAAAAACATGTTGAACTTACAGCAAAGGTGGCCTGGGTGAATTTTGTATGCTTGTTTTAAATGTGTGCTGTGAAAATGCTAGTGTATGAGAAGCTTTAAATGCATTGCTTAGTACCACATTTCATCATTATCATAAGACAGTCTTTATTTTCACATCTCCAGCACATCTAGCATAAAAAAAGTACAAACATGATTAACTGTACTTCTTACTCCTTGCTCAGAAGGCACTCTGTTAGTGGTTAGGCTCCATTTATGTGCCCAAATGTGAATTAAGCCAGACACTTACAGTAAGGTTAAAAAGCATATTTGGTCTTCACCTCTTTCATTCTCATGCATTTCCATGTCTTTGAAGCAATGTGCATGGGAAATGAACAGACGTACTTAATCAGGGACTCCATACCTACAGCTGGAGGAGAAGAGAGTGGTGTATTATACAGAGAAGTGTGGTCAAAGTTTACCTATAGCAAAAGCCATAATAAGTTTTGTCTTGGAGGTAGAACACCTTGGAATGCCCTCACAGTGTGAGCCCTCTCGCACCAAGTGTGTTGCTTCAGTTACAAATTAGTTTTTGAAAACTACTTTTAGAAAAATGAACATGTTTGCCATATGAAAATATTTTCTTCTTCCCCCAACCTGTTTGTATTATGCCTTATTCTGTGCTTCAGGATTCTTACGGAATTTTAGGAAATCAGGTGAATTACCTTCAAATGGGTCGCTCTGAAGCCTAATACACAAAAATAAAGCTGTTCTTTAAATATCGGGGTAGGTTCTCTTGTAATGCTTATTAATATTTAAGAAGATAAAGCATTGCTTTTTTGAATAAGATCTGCACAGTTGAGGGCCCAGCAAATTTAATGTTGATATTATACCACACTAAAGTTACACTAGTAATCTTCTATTTACAAGTCATCACATGCAAACCCGAGGACGGAGGTTCAAGTGGCTGAGCATCTCTAACAACTTGCCAAAACTCAACATTCATTCCCTGCTTGCAGCCAAACAGATCTATGCCTCCTCACCTTGGCATTAGCCATCATCAGACTTTTCAATGTCTTCACTGAGTTCACGAAACTGGAAGGAAACTATTCTATGTTGGTTTTCAGTCCTTTCTGCTGGACTAGTTTTCCAGTGGCTTAGTGAAAATAAGGTAGCCCAAGAAGAAATCTGACAAGCAGTGGAAACAGTGGGAGGAGAAACCTTTTCAGTGGCTCTTGAACTGACTCACTTTCTGTGGAACCTCACCTTGTGTTACCATGTGGCCTGTATCATTCATATGTTATGCTTTTTGCCAAGATTTTTTTTTTTTCCTCTCCTTTAACTGCAATGACTTGCACTCTCTGAGAGGTGGGGTGGTGTTATTTGAGAAACTAATGTATATCACACACCTACATGTGTGTTTATATGAAAAGCAGCCAGATCCTCCAATGTTTTGCATTAAGAGACAGCTATACTGTTATTCCTCTTAGGAAACAGTCCTATACATAAATCTGGGACAACAGCTCAGACTCTTTTTTAAAAAAAGTAGAATTATTAATCCTGTATATGAGTTGGCATGTTGAGAGCAGGTTTTGAGAGCCAAGTCTTTTATACCTTAAAATGCATAACTGTAGGTGATTACAGTAGTCACTATAAACAATAACTGTTATTATAATAACCACAACTCATTCCTGCTCATAATGTTTGCTGCATCTAAGTGTGATGTGAACATTGTGTCATGTAACAGAATTCCCATCATCAGAATTACGAAATAGTGTATGCTTTCAGCAAGCAGAGTTCATAACAGATCACGCTTCAAAATTCATCCTATTGTTTAGAATTTGGAGAACAGCATGTCCACACAGAAAGTCTTCAGATGTGACTGTCAAAATTCACTCCTCACCTTTCCAACCATCATTTCTCACTGGCTGCTGGCTGGTTATTGCTTTAAGCTCAACTGTTATGTCCTGCTTATGATATTCAACCACAACTGAGTAACTTTCAGAGGAAACTCGTGCCCTGCAATTAGCACCAATTATCAGGGTGTGTAACTCACAATGTGTTTGCTTTCTTGTTTTGCAGTTCAGTCCTTCACCTTCACCCCTGCAGGTACTGTCCATTAGTCTGTCTCTTACCTCACCAACATGTCATTGCAAACATTAGCTATCTAAGTGTTAATGAACGTGTGAGATATACAGAGCTAAAACCAAATACAGGGAGAAATATTTCTGCTGCCTATCAGTCATAAAAATGTAGCATCCATTCTCCTAGTGATTCCAGGGGAACATAAAATCCACCATCATTAATGTCTCTGTCATTATAATTCTGCCTACTTCTTATTCGTCTAACTCCTCAAAAGAATGCAGTTTTGAAAGTAATTTGCAGGACAAGATACTTGAACTAACAACATAAACAGGAACTAGTCATCTATAACTGAATTTTTATTTAAAGTTCACCTAAAGTATCGCAAACATTTTTAAAAATTTAACTGGAGAAATTGGACTATCTTCCACTTTAGCTGTTAATTGCATTTATGTTGGCCTTACCATGCAGTGTTCAGATCTTCAAGCAATCTAGTGATTAACCTGTGTACACGTTGCCTTTACAGTGTTTTTGAAATCAAAGCATTGGCTTTTTTTTTTCTGCTTACCCAACTCAAAGCTAATATCTTAGGTTTTGTATCTTTGATAAACATAGCATGTGGTAGAACATTATTGTAACCATGATTAAAAAGATATGTGAAGAATAAATGAAGTGTGGCTGAAACAGCAGGTTGCAAACAGCTTAGCCAACATATGGATAGCCAAGGAAAATAAAGTATACAATTAATAGTAATAATTAATACGAATAATTAGCTTCTGCTCTCATACCTAAGCTCAAGATTAAAAAACTCAAAAGTATTTATACCTCAGTGTTACAGTGTAAAAGCCTGATAAATCTCAGTATTTTCCAGCATAAGTAGGTGGCTTTTGCATGTAGCTTGGCCCCTCAGTGGCACTTACTAAAGCTGTTTGTGCCCTCTGCCACCCATGTGATAGAGGTCAGTCTTCCCATGGCACCACTGAACTGCTCCTCATGCTCAGCCAGCTACTTTCTAGTCCTTGCTTGTCCTCAGCCACATCTTGAATGTTTAAGAGCAGATGACTCTCAGATGCACAAAGGTGGTGGTGTCTCCCCAAGGACATGTGACACTGTGAGGAATAATTGTGGAGAAGCTCTGGGGGCTCAGGAATTGGTCCTTTGGCTTCCCTGAAAGTTTGTTCAAGTTAGTGTAAGTTGTGGCACAACACATCCTACACTCAGTGCTTTGCTTACTTTTCTTTGACACACAGCATAGGATTTTTTTCCAAAATGAAATAATGCGGCTTTGCATTTAGTTCTTATGTTTATGCCACTGTCAGCTGTCTGTAACTGTGGTGAGTTTTTTCCATTGTCTTTGTAGGATAAATTGGCATGACACAGGGATGTGCTGGAGCCACAGACTGTACATGATTCGGTGCTGTTGATCTACATGGCTGGGTGATGAGGATATGTCAGAGGCCCTACCAAAAATTTACTTTCTTAAAAAATAGTTTTGACATCTCATGGATTTTATAGAACTATAACAGCACATAGTTCTATTTCCTGGACTATAGTAATTCCTGGAGGCACTGAGAACCTAAGTCATCCAGAGTCAAGCCCTCCAAAAACATGATTAATTTTTTTCAAAAAAGTTACTCCTATGATAAAAAATGTACTCTGTGTTTTTTAACTTTACTCATAGAGTTCCCTAAGAAGCGTCAATAGTTCTCTAATATCTGAATTATCCATTGGTAACATAATTTAGACAAACATAGCTGTACTGGGGGGGGGGGGTTTATAACACGCACAACTGTATTTAGTTCCCTTCAAAGTTATAATTCATAATTCATTTGGTTTCAGATCTAAATATCTAGACAGTGGTGTGTAGCTTACAGCAACTTATCAGAGACAGCTGTCAATAAAGTTTTACTAAAGGTGAATTTACCCTAAATTACTCAGATTTTAGAAGGTGCACAATTTTCATTCAGATATCTGTTTTAAATTCTTCTTCAGAAAGTTTTAGAACACGTAGATTTGACTGTGTAATAAAGAAAATTGAATGTATTAGTAGAATATGCATATACTTACTCTATTTCAGACAAAACAAATTTTTTTCCCAGTTATTTCTGATATCAGTGGGTTTAGTTTTATTTTTCTTCAGTTGTATTTGCATGTGTATAGAACTTAAACCATTAAAAATAGTTATTTAAAGTCTAGATTCTACAGCTACATAATTTTTTAAAAAGCTTTTTCAAGTCAGTTTCAGATTATGGGTCATTCGCTGGGACTATTTGTTATTTGTTTTCTGTTACTAGGCTCCTAAGACACGTAATCTTGACTGTATAACTAAACTACTGTAACACTCTGTGCAGGAGAACAGCAAACAGCAAATATCACTCAATTGGTAAAGTTTTGTGCCAGAAAAGAATAATGGATTGAGTTAAAGCCTTTAAGCTTCCTCTCTTTTTGAACATTTTCATAAGCACTGATCAATTGCTCAGATGATCACAAATAAAGTGACATTGAAAATCATAGCTAAATCTTTTTACTTATTTTCAGCTGAACTGACTCAGTACTTACAGAGCCATAATTCTGTACATCACTATCCCTCCATTCCATTTCCCCCTTCATGACTCACAAGGCATTGATCCTCGGTAATATCAGTACTATAGAACATGATTTTCAACTGTATTTGTTAGATTTAAACTTGTAAGTAGTAGTGTCAGCATCTGCAGCTGTACAAGAAGTTTGTCTTTTTGGGACTGTGACATAATATGGGCAAAACCAAATCTGGCACAGAGACACTAAATACAAATGTTAACCCCTTTTCAGTCATCAGTTCTGTCATACAAAGGATGGATTTGTCTTACTTTTCTAAGTTTCTGTAAAAGCTAAAGTACTGCTGCACTGGTGTTTTGGTGGTTTTTTTTTTTTTTTTTTTTTGTTTGTTTGTTTTTTTTTTTTTGTATTTTTATGGTTGCCCTTTACTCAGACTGTCTGGATATAAATACACAATGTGGATTTCTACATGATACAAGAAAAGACAGATGGCACTACAGATATCTGACCACTTCTTGTATAACAGATAAATTGTTTCATTCCCATATTACAATGACAGAAGATAATTTGTTTATTTTGTACTGGAAATCACAATTGTCTTTTCACATTTTGGTAAAAGGACTTGTACGGCAAAGGCATGGAGGCCTTTGAAGAAGTGAGAGAAATTTCCTTTATTTGCTTATCTTTCATATGCCCTCAAAGTCATTGTTGTGCTGGCACCCACACACTTGAATACACAGGTGTTTTGAAGTGTCTAGGCCATCAGTCATGCAAATAAAGTAAATATATATTTTCACTTATGAGTAAGTAAGCTTATTTAGTGACTAGTGCTCTTTGGGATTAAAGATTTCATGAAACTGAGTAAACAAAAATAAATTAAAAGTAGAGAATTATGGAATGCTACACATTTTATACACAATTCCTGAAACTCTTAAATGAGGATAAATTATTTGACAGAATCATCCAAAGGTAGACAGATTTGATGGAATTTTTATATGCTGATTATCTGTTCTGAGTTAATGCTTATTAAAAGAGGATTAATCTACAGTCCTATTTGAGGAACAGCTTATCAGAAAAAGGAATGAGACTTGGCTGGCAACATTAAAGTTTTCATTTGCAGTAGGAAAATGTGGCCTAGTAGAGATAGGCGTGCAGAAAGCTTTCTAAAGCTTTCTAAAGCTTTCTTGCCTCAGAATGTCAACTTACTATACATTTGTATTTTTCCAATTCTAGCAGGCATGAAGATTAAGTTTAACCTTGTCAGATGATATTAATAAATGGTTTGGTTACCTCCTTGTATATTTAATAAAAAGGGTGTGAAAAGCTCCTTAACGTATGCTTTTCTTCACACAAATGTATACAATATCATTTCCTTAAATATTTATGCATTTAAAATGCATTTTGGATTATATTTCTGCATTTTTACAGTCCTTGAAATATAAGCTGGTGGGAATTTCTTCAAAATCTCTCTATGTAGAGGTTATTTTTTCATCTTCTTTTGAAAACCAATCTCATCCTTGCAGGTCTTCAGCCTTTCTAAGAACATATATCAGATGCAAAGAGTGCTGAAAGAGCTTTTTTGCTTCCTCGGTGATAAAAAGCAAGGGAGATGGGTGGGTCAGTGATAGGGGCATCCTTCCCTTCCTCCTCTTACATTGCCCCTTGAAATTGCTCTGCTGCTTTTTGAAGTGGAGACAGGATGAATAAAGCCAGCTGTCTGTGTGTTTTATTTTTACAGTGACATCTACAAGCCTGCATTGCATTAAGTATGCTTCTATTCAGGCGTTTAGACTTGTTTTGTAATTGCAGAAATCAAACTGCAGGCAAAAATGCTGACAAAACGTATGGCAGGAATGATAAACATAGTGCTTGTGTTGGCAGCCTGACCATATCTTCTGTTGTTAGCTGTCTTTCCTTTCACAATATTGATGCTAAAAGAAAGGCACCCTCTCCATCCAGCCTCAGGTAGCCCATTTATGGATGACATCAGGAATAAGATTTTTTTTCTGTAACATCCTGATGACATGTCTATACTTCAAGAGGAATTTTGACTGGTTTAGTTGATATTCCAGAGCCTTTTCCACCAGGGATAGTGATTAAAATACTTTCTTGTTTATTTTTTCATTAAGATTATAACCATCCATGCACTGGGGTACAGGGTAGAGGATGAACAAAACTGCCAGTATTCCTTCCCAGTTCCGTACACATCACATAAGCCACTCACAGTCCTCCCCTGGTAAAACAATGTCACTGCAAGACAATGTCTTTCTTTAATAAACTAAGTTGTACCTTTCTTCTAAAAACAGTGGTTATGTTGGGAGGGTGTAAGATTATTGAGTGTAGGAAAAAAAAACAGGAAGCTTAATACCACCAGGATACAGAGACAGAAGAAAAAAGAGTAAATGCTGTGATACCTGTTTCTTCTCAACAAGCTCATGTGCCACAGACAATCTGCAGCAGTTATGGTTCTAGCGAAGGGTTTTTGATGTCATTTCTTCCTGATAGGCTTTTCACAGCATGCCTTGGCATTTTTTCTATACCTCACTACACAGAAAATAAAATGTCTCTGGCAAACATTGCTGCAATCTCCTACAAGCTCTCCCGTTTTAGCTTTGCTTTATAAAGGTACAGAAGGCGTGCAAATATTTTGAAGACCACAAATATTGATTTTTTTTTTTTTTTTTTTCATATGACAGGTAAAATCTCACACACCTGTATGTGTGGCACAAATGGTGACAATATTACTTTAAAGTTATTTCTGGTAGAGGGTAGTCTAAACAAGAGCATTAATCCCAAGAAGTTTTCAGAAAATATGTCTTACTGGAATTCCCTTAAATCTGTAAACTTTACTCATAAGGGTTGTTACTGAACACACCTTTCTTTCTTGTTTTCCTTGGTATTTATTGCTTTGACAAATGCAGAAAGTTGGGGAAATTGAGCATTAAATTTGAAGGGGAGGAGGAGAAAGAGAACAGCATCAAATGTACTTTTGACCAACAAAGACAGGCAGTACCCACCTCGTTGCATATTCACATGATATCCACAGCACTTAAGCTTAGTCACTTTTAAGCAACAAGTGATACATTCACCGAGAACTGACTGAACAGCCATTTGACAGAATGACAGAGTCACAACGTTAGAAGCAATGTGACTGAATGTAGCATTGGCTCTAAAATTAATTAAGTGCAATGTTTTACCTTGTCTTGTTTTTCAAAGCAGACTTTTATTTAATACTTCCCATACTGGCATTTTTATTTTCTTTTCATTAATTGGCTTGATTACATCCTTTCAAAATTTGGCTATTAACCATTTTGATGTGACATATGACTGCAGTGGTTTTCTGATATTGATATTAGTCTTTTCTTCAATGAAGTGTAATTAATCATCCTACCCAAGCACTCTTCCATCAGGGCTTCCAGAGGGGCCAGTTTTGTCCCGTTTACTGAATGTAAACTGTGAAATTATCCTAGGAATTAATAAAGCCACAAGAATTCTATAAGGTATCAGAAGTATTTTCCCAGCGGATTTATGCTAATTTTTCAAATGATCACAGCATTTCTATTTGTTGTAGTAATTTTGTCTGATTATGATGCTACATAATAGCCTAATCTTGAATTAGTGTAGTTTGGACTAATATTTGGAAAATCTTGCAAATACTCTGGGAGCTGTAATTTAATGTTGTAAATGTCTGCCTTACAAAGGTAAATAGTATTTCCAAACCGAGGCCTCTTTTAAATTAAACTGTCCACAGATTCTTGCATTCCCCTCTGAAATTAGAACTATCACCTTGTCAGGGGCCTGTAAGGGTGCAGGTGTCCAAAACATTGGTATAATTTAATAGTCTGCCTTATCTATGCCTGATGATAAATAATGGGATGTTGCCACTGAAAACCAGAGTAGTCTGTTGGCCTTGATTCAAAATATTTGTCAGTGCTTCAAAAAGGAGCATCAAATGTCAGTTAGCATCTCACCAGTAATGTGAGTTTACCTGTATTGGCCTGGAATGTAATCCTTTTAATAAGACAGATAAGAGTGAGGCTGTTTTTTGTCAAACACTCATGAATGGAATCATAAAACCAATTGTCTCCCTCTGAATATGTCCTTGGGATCCCCCATGGCAAGACCAGAAACACTTTTTCTTCCCAGTCATACTGGTGTGTATGCGTTTATGTGTGGGTGCTGGTTCTTATACTGTACTTCTAATGGAAATGATGCAGCTATATGTTTTTTTTCACCCCTTCAGCTCTAATAGTGTTGCCATCTCTTTGTATTTGTCCCAGGAAATGGCATATTTGTGTGGTGACATTATATTGCTGCATTACAACATGATGTTATTAACTCACTGGTGCAATGTCATTATGTACTGAAGCAAAAGCATGCCAAGAAAAGAATTTAATCACATGTCTCAGTCTTGCAATCCAAAGTCATATGAAGGGTCTTGTGGCAAATTCAGGCCTTTTGCCCAGGCAACTGGTTTGCTTTGCAAACTACAGAGCAAGTTTAAGCTAATGAATAATGTGCAGTGATATTCTAAACAACTTGTACCCCTAATGTGTTTGATCCTTTTCTTACCATTTCTGTACTTTATTGTTTGATGATGCCAAGAGGCCTCCGATCTCAGACACAGAGCAGTTTGAATTGTTACTTTTAATTAATTATTACTAATTGATTTTTCCCTGTCTTATATGTGTGTGCGTGTGTGTGTGTATGTTTGTTTTGTTTTTTCAACCAAAACACAGTCACTTTCCAAAGAGGAGATGGAGGACTAATGAGCAATGGAAGGTATGTTTCTTTGTATATAGGCCTTTCCATCGTATTTATTTTTAAAATTAGGGATCTGAAAAATGGTATAGGTAGTGCACCTGGATAAGAACTGGTCCTTGGGAAGACTGACAACACTAGGAGGAGTTAAGTAGCTTATGACAAGGTTTAATGACCTATCTGTTGTGCACTTTGGAGGAATCAAGCCCAGATGTTTCATATCTCCCAGATGCCCTGGAAGAAATGAGTAGTAAATATCACAAGGAATGTGTTCATTTGTTACTGGGATGTTTATTGCATTAATTAGACATTAGCAAATGAAGTTGCTGTTGTTTAAGACTCCTTATTGGCTCCCCCTAAATTGCTGTGAGTGAACAATTACACTTAATCGATCATGAAATAAATGATTCATGGATGATGAATAGGCTGTAGATTGATAGGACTGGATTCCACAACTTTTGCTACTCAATTGAAATTGATAAAAGCTGATAACAGGCCCATATATCCTCATCTATTTTCCCTTTGCCAATATGGAGATTGTAATTAGGCCCTGGTAATAACTTCCAATCTCCCATTTAATCAATATTTTAGCAAAAAGAGATTAGGCCTAATGAGAGTGAGTAGATGTGGCAAGAAAGCGGATGGGTCTTCTTATTGCCGTTTCCATAGAAACTGATGTTTCTCTTAGGGATTGTACCAGGCGGGGGTCTGTAACGTACAGCGATCAGAGATGTTGCTCCAACTTCATGAGTGCATTAATAACCTAGGAAAACTGTAGAACTGTGGAGGTTTTTTTAGTTTTGTTTGGGGGAAGGAGGTGTCTCCAGGAAATTATTTGTTTTCCCTGTTAAATACAAATACAAGCAATCCACCTGGCTCACTAAATTTCTGGCTGTTTATCCTGGAGCGGGAGAGACAAAGTGCCTTATGGCCCAAATGTACCTTCTCATACAACGTACCCGCTGTTTAACACTGCTCCAAATGTTGGGAATTACAGGGATATAAAAGCCATGCAGCAGTGGCAGATAGAGATAGTTGTGGACTTTCCATTAATCCTACTCAAACCTGTTTGCCTCTAAACCATCCAAGAGTGCATAAAGAAAGAGTTACCAGCCTGTGGATGACAGGCATGCATTTGGGATGCAAGGGAAGGAAGAAATAGTAGCCCAAAGTCCTGGAAATGGCTGATATGGAGCAATCAGTTTGAGTGATGGCTCCCTTGAGGTGGTAATTTATCATGCAGCCCTAGTGTAGGATCCCATGATGGTGCTGCCTAACTCCTGTTTCACACAGACAACGGAGTTCATTTGGATTCTGGCAGAATCACGACGGATGTCTAGTCCCACTTCTAGTGACAAAGTTGATTTGTATATAACCTTAATTAACTGCTCAAGGTCTTTAAATCATCAAAGGCTACACAATTTTAATTCGAAATAAATTAAAGTCTCCTAAACTGTGTGCTACCTACTGTGTTAGGAGAACAGTGATATGGCCTCTTCAATTGCTACCTGTCTCACAGATATTTTAATTTTGTGGGGAAAAAAAAAAAAAATATATATATATATATTTGTATGTATATCTTTCTTTCTTATTCTACTTCAGCCGACCAGGTCTGTTGAATGCAAGTGACCCCAGTTATCCTTGGCTTGCAGACTCTTGGCCTGCAACAAGTCTGCCAGTAAACAACAGCACTAGTGGACCAAATGATCTTGGCAATTTTGGCCGTGGAGGTAGGTTTCATTTTAAGTCACTGTATAGTATACAATAGGCTTCTGTCAGTTAACCTCTATAATAAACACTATGTAATATTTTTTCTTTGTCTCTTTCTACTTCTTTAAAATGTCAATCTAGTTAGTAATTTATCCCACAGTGGTGAGAAAATGTCTGCTTATTGTCTCAAGAGAAATATATTTATTGTGCAAAATAATTTCCTTTTGTGTGGAGATGAGCAATCTGCTGTGCAGGGCTATGTAGCCAGGGACAGAGGGTGTCCATAAGAGCAGAGAAGAATTTGGAGGATGCAAGAAGAATATTCCTTCTGCAGAAGGACAAAAGAACCTTGTTGCTGTCACCTTACTCATCCCCTTGCTGCTGAGGGATTGCTCTCAGTCTCAACCATAATGCATGGAGGTGGCCTCAAAGGTCTTCAGAAACTTTCCTTCTTCTTGGAGGAAAGAATACATAAAAGTGAACTATTTAGATTTTTTAGGAATTTATTTCCATTTGAATTGAGGGAGGCCCTTCGGGGAGATGAGGTAATGATTTGTAATTATGGTGATGAATCTTTAAAGGGGTTATTTTCTTTCAAACATTTTACTCAAATGGGAATTTCAAGATGTGTAATTGCGATTTTTAAAAGTCATAGCGATATTCACATTTGTCTATTACTTCCTTGGTTTCTGTGATGCTATAACATAGCTAGTTCTGTGTAGTGATGTTCAGAACAAGACCTCCTAACATAATGGGTATATAAATATTTTTAACAGGTAAGTAAACAAAACCCAAGACTTTATATGTCAAAAATAGATTAAAATGCAAAAAAAATCTGTAAAGCCATCAAACTGATAAATGTGAAAAGTATTCAGTTGTGAACTGTACCAGAATCTGCTTCTGAAAACCATCCCTCACATCAGTTACATTTTACATGGGAACCCACGCAAAATTTCTTGACGGTGGTTTGACTTCAAGTTACAACAAAACATTCTAGATTTATTTTCCATATAAAGATGTTGCAAAGCTCTTGTCTTGCAAACATATTATAAAGTGAGCAAAACTTTTTGTAATATTTAGAAGGCAATTGAATATCTGACAGCTTCTTTGTTGTGAATATCTTGAAAACAAAACCCTTCAATACTTTTCCATCCTTTCATGAGCTCACATAATACAGAAAAATTACCATTTGCTTTTAGCATTTGGCTCTATATGACTGAAATTGGAAGCATGCTTTAAAGCTTTTGGCTTCAATGTAGATGAGGCATAAGTCCAAATTTGTCCGAGAGATGCAACAGTTTTATTTTGAATTTCAGCAGCCTAATTCTACTCGTGTTCTTTACAGTTGAGCTCACACTTTTATTCTGGCTGTTTTGAGACCACTTATCGCTATCTGTTTCAGACGTTGAATTTGGATGCTTCTGCATTAAAAGTGGATTAGAAGTCAGATGTCTTTTACATGAATTAACTCTACAGATAGAACGTGGGCCTCTTTTACTGGTTAACAGGTCTGTGTTAATATAAAAGGTCTGTAAGAATTTTGAAAATGGTAAGTTGGCAGTCAGTCATTCTGAGAACTCAGAAGCTGAGGCAGGCAGTTGAAACATTGCTTTTAAGAGTGAAATCCGCAGTATGTCCTAGATTGGCATTTGAGAATAAGGCTGTGAGTGGGAAACACAGGTTAGCTTTGGAGCCACATAAGGCCACAAAATAGTACTGCATCACCCAAAGCAGCAAGAGTTTCCCTCAGGAAGCACTTCAGCACTTTCATTTATCTCAGGAGCGACAGAAAGTTGGAATTTTGAGAGTTTTGGGGAAAGTGTCCAGTGGGAAATGTGTGGGAAATCTTTGGTCTGGAATATACAGTGTGGGGTTTTTTTTCTATGAGAACTTATTGGGAAAATCACACTTGATTTTTACTAGGTGATTATGGCCTTCTGTAAAACTAAAAATTTAATAGCTCTTTACATGCCATTGATGCCAAGCAAGTAATCTGTGGTTGTACTGAAAATACCCAGAATATCTGAAGAACATCAGTTTATGAGTAAGAGTGACTGAAAATTCTTAGCTGGTGGTGAGAAGCTATGCAACTTTCCTTTCATGTGTGTGCAAACGTGTAATTCTCCATTTTTAAAATTACTGCATAGGGATGATACTTCTTTAGTTGCCAGAAGTGTGCTCTAAAAGATAGATGGGTGTCTGAATGCTTGAGAGCTGAGAGTTTTGCTAGTTTTTCCTTCACTGAGTCTGCAAACCCAACAGACACAGGTTGAGCTGGACTTGCTCCATCTTATACATCAACAACAGAATTTATTTCCTAAACTTCCATCCGTTATACTTGAAACCAGTTGTGGAAAGAAACAATCTTCATTTTGTGGATTAAATGCAGGAAAGCTAGGCCTGTACTTGTGTTTCACATCTCATGTTTTATTTGCACATAGGTGATGTTACAGGTATGTACTGCCCCTAGAAAGCGTGTTGGATATGTGCAGATAGTAATAACCTGATTTTGAAATATGACCTGTAGTTTGCATTAATGGTAGGTTTTTTTGCACTTACAATTTATCTGCAGGTATAAGTTAAAACGATTAAGGTATTTTAAATATTTGATTGTGCCCACTTTCCCTGTTACTCTTGTCTGCAAACCCAGATTGTACTGATAGACCCAGATTTAATCTCTGTTTCTGCCATCTCTCTACTGAACACTTTTTATTGCCATATTTCTTGTTAATATGATGTTGTTGTCCTGAGCCTGCACATGTGTGCAACAGTGAACATGTTATATGTGTTCACTGTTGCACACATGAATGCAGTAGAATATAGTTCTGTGGTCTAAACGTTCATCCCAAGGGGAAAAAAAAAAAAAAGAACAAATAAATAGAGGGAGGAGGCCATGCTGTCATATCTTACTGCTGGAAAAGTCTTGAGACAGTGAGAAGAACAACTGTATTCCCCGAGGTTGCACAAAACCCATGTCTGGGTCTGGAATTGAGCTTAAACCCTTGTCTAGGTGCAAGAGTCTTCTTTTCTCTCTCTGGGGCTTAAGATATATAAAAATGTCTGTTATGGGACACAAATGGGATCTGAACTTTGTTTCTCTGGGAGTATGCATTATCTCAAATATGTTTTAACAGCTGGAATTCATATCTGCCATCCAACTGTATAAAGCAAATGGGATATAAATTATGCATATTCATAACAAGTAAATTCCAGAATGGATTCAACTTTTCAGAGTCTTAATAATTTGTAAAAGTAGTACCTCTTGATGTGTTGACCTCAGAGAGAGCAGGAAGGGTGTTATCTGCTGAGCTGTGGTTCTCCTTGGAACATCATGCCAGTCATCATTAGATTCTTCACACTTCAGTAGTCTCAGCTTCTAAATCTAGTACACCATCAGCAAAGGTCACTACAATCTTTAGGAAGAAGAGAGACTGCCAATCTAACTGATTAAAGGTACAAATTGCAGTGTGTGATAGGATTAAAAAGATGCAGAAAAGTCAACAGATATTTAGTTAAATATGCTGTACTGTTTTTCAGGTAAATGTACTGGAGTATTTGAACAAGTTGTTCTCCATTATCAACACTACTTTGCCATTTTAAGAGACTGATCACTTAAATCCCTTCAGAATAACTGATTTTCTTTCACATATCAGGAACAGCTTGGCTTTGTCAGGTTTTTCTTTTGTTGAAAAGAGGAAATGTACTAGCTAATGTCAAAAAGAAAATTAGATAAGCTCATGCATAAAACTTCAAGGAAGTCAAGGTGATGCCCTTAAAAAATTACTTTGAGAGCTTTGGCATCCATTTAAGAGTTTTGCTACATATTTGCTAGGAAAGTTTCCTCTGTGATTTGTAGATTGACTCTTTTCATCATTTCCCTGAAGCCCAGACAGTTTCATTGGTTCTGACATAGAGTGAACAATTGAAAACATTCTTCAGTAGAGAAATATTCCAAACTTCACTTTCACAGTTGAAGGTATGGGGGAAGAAAAAAAAAAAGAGATGGCTTTAGGCAGTGAGACGTGAAGGACAAGTGGTAGGCCTGTCACAGATGCTGATAGCTCGGCGATGGTTGTACATCATCTTCCCTTCGTTGGCTCATGGACCTGTCTCAGCTGAAATGCAAGCGTGCAAAATGACACATTTATTTTTCATCTTAAACCTTGCTACTTTGAGGCTTCCTGTGCATCAATGATTTGTTTTGTTCCCCTATGTTCACCACAGATGTGCTGCCACCAGTGCCAGGGCAAGGAGATAAAACTGCTACCATGCTTTCTGATGGAGCCATTTACAGCAGCATCGACTTCACCACGAAAACCAGTTACAACAGTTCCAGCCAAATAACGCAGGCTACACCATATGCCACCACCCAGATCCTGCATTCCAACAGCATCCATGAGTTGGCTGTTGACTTACCAGATCCTCAGTGGAAAAGCTCAATTCAGCAGAAAAATGACCTGATGGGCTTTGGTTACTCTCTCCCAGACCAAGGCAAAGGCAACAACGGTAATTACCGTTCTTATTTTCCAGGGCCCTTGGCTTTATATTCTTATCATCTAGGCATGAATTAGAAAAATCTTTTTAGTGTGTGATATACTCTTTGCATTTACCGTAACCACTGCTTACATGCCTTGCATGCATGCCGAACCTCACACAATCACAAAACAGATTGTTCTGCGCTTTTAATACTCCTTGTCTTGTGCTAATCACCAAACCATCTGCCTTTCATTAGGCTAGGGTAGGTATACGTTTTAAAAACATATAAATTAAAACTCGCTACTTCACCACATCTGCCGTTGACTTGCTAACTGCATGTGTTGCATGTGCTTGTGCTGTCAACTAATCACACAATGCCACTGTGACTTTTGCCCTTTAACCCTTAGCCTTGCTTTACATCCCTGACTACCGCGTGGCTGAGGGATTGGCTAATAGATTGCCACACAACCAGTCACAGGATTTCAGCACCACCAGCTCCCACAACAGCTCCGAAAGGAGTGGCAGCCTCTCAGGTTGGTTCCACCGCCGTGGGTGGGTGAGGGACGGAGGGGTGTTGGCGAGCGGCTCGCCACGGAGGCGGAAAACCTCCCAGGTGCACTTTGCAGATCGATATGAGGGTGCCTGCCCACTGGAACATCAGCAAACCGTGTCACGTTGACCTCCACCGGGAAAAAAAATAGCCTGTTGCAAAACCTCTATGGAGACAGTTGGAGAATGCTCCCAACCAGCACTTGTCGTCACAGTTGCAAACCTTGCCTTGTCACGTCCTCTCCCTGACGGCACAGTTCGTGGAGCAAATATATTTCTGCATCAATCTTCAGTTTAGGTCTCCCCACACTGAACATCATGAGATTAATATCTTTGTTGAGTCGTTAACAGATTCTGCACTCACGTGAGCTGTTTCTAAATGCTGTTTTTGAGTGAAGCAGCTCAGAAATAAACGTGAGGCCCTGTGAGATGACCTGGGTTTCAAAAATTGTGCCAAGTCTGCGTACAAACAGAATGTAAATTTCATGTGTGTGCTGCATGTTATATTTGAAAAATGATGCATTTTCATTGGATGAAAATGATTGTAGTACATGTGGTTGTGTGTTATATTTAAACACACCTTATTCTTGATGTCTTTAATTTTACTTACTTGTTGCTTATATTATGTGTAACTATGTCTTTTTTTAAAAAACAATAACTGAAAAGCCAGCAATTAAAATGAAAGCCTGCTATTTCACTTAACCAAAGTATGAGAGAGATGCAGGGATTTAAATTACAAATCTGTACTGTATCCTTAGCCTTTTGAATTTCCACTATAAGTTGGAGCAATTGTAACAGTAGCAGATCAACCCCAAAAATGACTTCTTTATGTCAGTTTAACTGACTATTCAAATTGAATATTGAGATTAAAAGCCTGTAATCATTGGCCTGTAATTCAAATAGCCAAATGTATTTGCAAGTTTTGTGTTCTTGTGAGGAGTATTAGCTGATGTGAGTGAGATTGAAAAATAGGCTTATGGCATTGACAGAGCAGTATCTGGGAGCTAAGTTCATATAATACTTCAAGAAAAGTTCTTGCTCCTCGTATGTGAGATGTATTGACAAGTATCTTAGGAAACTGACTTGCTTCTGTGGCTGCAAGAAAATGCAGAAATTGATATGCTGAGGTACTTATGTGCCCGTTATCACAGGACGTTATCACACTTTAGAAATGGTTGATAGCTATAGCTGCCTAAGAACTTTCAAAATTTAAATATTTCCAATTTTCATTGGAAAATACCCATTGATCAAAAGTTGGACTTTGAACAAATATTTCAAGTGAAACATATTTTGTGTAGTGTTATTAACGTCAGGTTAGGCAATCTTTCTATGGACAGGGAAATCCTGTTGTGATCAAAGCAGCTCACACCTGAATGCCCCAATGCTCAGATGCGCGTCAGACCATTGGTCTGCAGAGTCAGTATTTTGCTCTCCGTTGCCCACTAATTTTGTCTTTAATGCAGGCTTTTTATGTCTGTAATACATGAGAAACCTTCAGATAGTCCAATAATTAGAGCATCACTCTCATCAGAGACCGTCTTTGATTAGGTCATGCCCATCAGGGTGAGCAGGGACTTGTTCTCTCACTTTCTTGGTTAGTACAGTAAGTGCTACTTATTATTCTAAGTTTATGTCTCTCTCAAATTAATATCATGAGAAATCCTATCCCACTGTGGAGAGGAAAATAGCTAAAACTCAACTGCTTTGTGAGGCAGGGAAATTTTGTGGCTGTACTTTGCACCCCTTATGTCAGTGCTGTGATCATCAGCCTGGCTGGGAAATTCTTTTTCTAGGGCCCGATTCATCTAGAGAGTTACACAACATAATTGAATTTCAGTGTGAGGAGACACTGAAACATCCAGCATCATTGCTATGGGGAAACAAGGCTTCGGTGCAACAGTTTTCAAGCACACATCAGGCATTATGTATTAGGTGTGTGTGCCACTAATCTGACAGTGGAGTAGCTCTGCCCATGGGGACAGAAGAGAAATCTCCTGCCCAGCTGTACAGTGTAGGCTGCTTTCCCTACCAGTAATGCCCTTGCATTTCCTTTCTTTTATTTCTTCCTCTAAACAGTTCCTCAGTTCTCTGCCTCAGTCTTTCTAATAGTTCCATTATCTTTGACCTTTCTCTCCAAAACTCCCCAAATCCGAGTGGCTTGATACTAGCATGCATGCACACACACTCACTCTCTTACGCATGTGCTTTCCTCCCAAAGCGGTCCCTCCTGCCTTAGTTCTTGTTGGCTCCTACTCCTGCTGACTTTTCAAAAATTCCCCCATGTCCCACGAATTAAAATTAACATAATTCCTTTGTACTATTCTGTGACCTTATTTCTAACTCTGCTTTCCACCATACCTGTGCTTTGGAAGGTTAATTTTCCTTCTGGAAGGTTCATGTATTTGTTCCTCCATTGCCACCTTCACTAGGGCTTCTTTTCTGTTGATCAAAATGTTCTTTCTCTTTTCAAGAAAGCTTCCCTTCCTACCAGGTTACAGAAGGAGGGAAGAGCCTGTCTTGCAGTCTGGTAGAAGGAATATCAGCTCGGTTCACCCATAGTCAATGGCGGGATCTTGGCTGGGCCTACTGTAAATACTCCAAGACAAGGAAGGAAGAGCTCATCTGGAATGAAGTAGTGGAAGCCAAAGTCTTGTTTGCAAAATGCTGCCAGATAGGCTGATTAGACACCTTGCCAGACTTGTTTGCCTGTCTCTAGCAGTCACAAGAGAAGATGAAAAGAGAAGTCTTGGCTACCTCTGAAACAAAGAATCACCTTTTTCTTCTCTCTCTATTTGTTCCCATTTTTGGTCCAGCTGGCATTTGGAGATAACAGAAGAAAGCCACTGTCTCTCAGACAAAAAGTTCCATGATGCATGCTTGTGTCTGTACCTAGAACTGCACCTCCTTCTGGATGTCTCTATGTCTACAGCAAGAGCCATGGCAAAGAAGGTGGTGCCTGCCAGTGCACACTGTGCCACCCTACCTGAGAAGTCAATTGTGGCTTTTTTGATTTATTGCTGTTGAGAACTTTCTACATGTTTTTTTCTGTCTGATCCTTATAAATCAGGAAGAGACATCAGTGGGTAAGACAGATTAGATAGTGCTTTCTGCAACAGGCCTGGGATGAGTGACTGCCAGCTGGGTACCCCACTGAAAAAGCATATGGCGAACCATTCTTCCACCCAACAATCCAGAGATTTTGAAAGCCACAACAAAATGGTAGTAAATAGATGGATCGTCAAGCAGTCAAGGGATTTGAAATCTTATGCCATTCTTCCTCTTAATGAATTCGTGACAAGAAAAAGGAGTATGAGCACAATAAAAGAAGCAAAACAAGTTAGCTAAGAGCTTTCTCTGTAAGATCACTTTCCCACAAATGGAAGTGTCTCAGCTGGAGAAGAGGGCTTAAACAAAGTGCATTGCTAACTTCATTCCTACTAACCTTCTCCATTAGGGCTGTATCCCCAGAAATAGCACCTCATCCTCGTAGTGGCACGGGACGTTTGAATCAGGTTGCAGATGACTTCTGACATTGCAGATGACTTTCTCCTCTTTTAAAAAAATGGAACTTTAGTAAATTCCTAGCAGCAGTTGTTTTGGCAAGTCACACTTCTCTTTCTGGGTGAAAACTACTGAGTCTAATGACAATTTTTTTAGACTCTGGAAAACCCAGAGGTTAAGGACACAAAAAGAGATTATACAAAACAGTGTTACAAGTACATTGAATTCTGACATTTGAAAATTATTTGCTGTGGTCTATTATATTTTTATCTAACAGTAAATTCAAGAAGACATAAAGCAGACCTGAAGAACTCAGTAAATACATTCATGACACAGCAAAACATATCTTTCCTTAGTTGTGCACTACTGTGGTGCACATGTATGCAGTTTTAAAAGAAGCGATTTTCAGCAATTATTCTGAATTTTTTCCATTCTATTATTATTGTTTATAACCTTGTAACAGCATTAGTTCATTGATGCTAATTCTGCTGAGATATAAATTCATCTTCTTTTTTGGGGCATGCCATCTGGAATCAGAATTCTTTCAAAGAAATGTAAATAGCTAGCTTTTTTCCCCCCAGTATATCTGTAACATTTTAATTTTCTTTTTGGATTTGCAGGTGGCAAAGGAGGGAAAAAGAAGAAAACCAAAAATTCTGCCAAGTCTCAGAAAAACAATGGTTCAAACTGGGCCAGTGTTCCCCTCCCACCCCCTCCCGTGCAGCCACTTCCAGGCACAGAGCTGGAGCACTATGGGGTGGATCAGCAAGAAGCAGGGTAATTTTTTTCTTTTTCTTTTGAAGAAAAATCTGTGATTTGCAGAGGTGTCTTTTTTTTTTTTTTAATAATTTTGGTAAATGACAATATTACCCTGTTTTGTTTTAAAAAAAAAGAGTGCCTTGTTCTATAGACTTAAGTATTCAAGGCTATGGTAGTGGAATGTTTGAATGGGTTCTCTCGATAGTGACTGAAGATGGAAATAAAAATGACCTTGCTTCATCATCGCGTAAAGCTTCCCTGCTTGCTCATGCTGAGAAGTATCTCACTTCACATCTAACTTAATTGAATTCTGTTGGGACTGCTTGCGGATGATGGGACTCAGAGTGAGTAAGGATGACATAACCAGACTCCTTGTATTTTTGTATTGCTTTGATGTTTAAAAACATTAGAGCCAACAGAACAAAACACCTCACGCTGCACTGGATGAATTTTAGAAGATCAACCAGTGGATAATATCTTCTCATCGGCTTTTAGAAGAAATTTCGCAGTTGATGAAGGCATGCTATTTATAGGCCTTTTAAAAATATTTAAATAACTCTTGAGTTTATGGAATCTTACATTTATTTTTGAATAACTTATACTTGTCCTCAAGGACACAAAATCATACAGAAAGCACTAAATGAGAGGAAAGAGACATTTGCTGTACAGAGAACAATTATGGAATGCTTATTATACAGTGACATTTTATGAAATACCAGGTTACCAGACTCTGGAGGAAAATCAGAGAATATAGAAAAATAGTTTACTGTGGACAGCTCTGTTGGAGCCTTTGCACGTCACTGTCCTGCCAGGGAAAAAGTTCTGCCTGTTTAAATACATGGATTAATCAATATTTCCTAGGGATGGAACATATGTTTTAAAAATAATTGTAAGAGCTTTACTGAATAAAAATATATCAAGTGTTATCTCTTTTGTAAGCATAAACTGATCATCACTACTTTTGTATTGAAAATTAGAAGAATTAAATATTAATATCAGAGTTTATACCATGTCCTTCAAGTCTTAAAATGAACAATAACTAACTATGTAAGTCAGTGGAATTCCTTTTAAAATGAATGTCCAATCAGGCTGTATTAGAGTTAGAATTCCAAAGAAAATATGAGGAAAATAAATATCCTTACTCATTTTAAGTGTTGTTTAAATCTCAAGGCAAAAAGTGCATAAACTCTTTATTGTTCTGTATCTGTTATAAGAAGCTAAAATAAATGTAAGATGGTATCACCATATAATATTTGTCTTTATCAGTTTATATCCTTAAAATGTGTGTGCAACCATTTCACTGAAATTATTATGCTACAGAAGGCAAACTCGGATTTTCTTTTGGCACAGTGAAATAACAAAAGGTAAATGGAAATACCTTCTAGAGAAATCCCATGTGACATAGGGCTTGACTTCTTAGTTGCATAAAGTATCTGCTATTTAGCTGGAAGGAATGATGATGGTCGCCAAGACAACACTGGTTATTTAAGGATAAGGCAAACACCAGCCTTCCAGGTTCCCAACAATTCAAACTTAGTTTTTCCTCTGATTGTCTTCTGAATTATTGTTTACTGGACTTTGTAATATTTCATTCATAGTGGTAACAAGTAGTTCATTCATAGTGTAACAAGGCCTTCTAAAGTGCATTTTACCGAACACAAAAAAAAACCTGAATATTAGGCTTACAATATCAGTCCTGAGCTATGATAATTTGCAGTCAACTTTGCTGAACCCAATGAGTCTGCAGTGCCCATGCTTCCTGAGGATGAATCCAATACTAATGGTTGTTCTGTATTTAGGGGTTGATCTTGTTCCCGTGCTTTTTAACATACTAAAATGGAATGCATCATAGACTGCAATCCTTATGTTGCCTTTAAAATTGATATATTGGGTATAAAAAAAAAAAAAAAAAAAAAGGGAGCCATTTTTTTAAAATTGTTTTGTTTTACTTGCTTTTCTTTGATCTGTAGTATCTATGGCACCTTCACTGAGTTTTTGTTTTAGAATTAATTATATGCAGATGCAATTCTATTGTGAATTACAATTGAAAAATGAACTTCCAGTCAGAAAATCTGAAGTCTTTATTAAAGTTCTCATAATGTGATAGGAAAGGTGAATATTTAGAGCAATGAAATAAAAAAGCTGGCATCTAAACAGAGACTTATTTTTCTGTGCATGTCTTCCTGTAACTCCTGAATTCAGATATGAGTTTCATTGGCATGAGTATCCCAAACTAACTAAATAGTTTTGACACCCAATTTTGCTTATGAGAAATAAGCTCTAGTGGACTAGTGGCTTATAAATTGTAAAAGAAAATTCACAATAGCAGCAAATGAAAAAAAGTTCCCCTGATAAACATAGATGAGAATTAAAAAAAAAAAAAAAAAAAAAAAAAAAAAAAAAAAAAAATCTCAGTTCTTTCTACCATCTTTTCCCCAGAAGAACTGAGGTTTGCAGTCACCTCTATTTTTCCATGAACTGGAACAAACATAAGGAAACGTGAACATGTTAATCCAGTCATTTCATATAATGTGGTAGCTTTGAGGATACCTTAAATTCCTATTTAACGTGTGCAGAAAGTGTGTTTATACTATTGTTTCCCTAGCAAGCTCTTTCCTGTGAAACTTTTCAATTTTTTTGTGGTCTTTTACAAACTCTGTGCTTGTTGCTTGCTGTCTTCCTTAATTTTATCTTGTATATGCCACTGAGTCTTTGAAGTTTCTCTTTTCCTGTAGTAGGTCCCAATCCAGCATGTTCCCTTTACCACCCTTTTCAGAGAAAATGCTTTTACTTTATTTTATCAAATAAACTTCACAGTAAGGAAATAGTACTTATTCATTATCATGTACTTATATTTTTTCACCAATAATATGCATGTTCTTGAGCCAGGCTCAGTGAAGGCAGTTTTCATATTATCATTGATTATTTTTATTTCTTTCTATTGATTCCACTTTAAAATGGAATATTAGCTGCTGGATGTGAATGTATTTGACAGTAATTTTATGGTTATAGAAAAAATAAAGAAGATTGTACATTTTATAGCAGAACATCTTTTCTGGATTTCCCTCTAGAGAGGGAAGCTTTCTTTGTTGCAACAACATGTGTAATGAAACAGAATTGTTGTAGAATGTGCCCCATATTTATTATATGGTTTGGGGTTTTTTTTTGTATTTTGAAGGAAAGAAAAAAATCTATCAATGTAATGAAAAAAGCTTTTCAATAGCAAAAGATTACTAAAGTATAAAAGTGCTAAGAGTAGAATAAAAATTATTAGAAATATAGTCATGTTTGTTAACCAGAATTTAGGTAGTTTATCATGAATTTACAATCAGAGGTCCATAGTGAGGTTAAAGTGCTTAGATTTTAATAAGAAGTACTTGAAAAAGGTTGCATGCATTTTCACCAAGTTATATTTACTCAGAAAACCAAAAGGAACATGGATGTGATCAATATGCACTGTGCTGATTTCAAAAGTGTCAACAATGCTCAGTTATGTGAGTTGTATTTACTATGCAGTCTGTTAGGTTTGCTAGCTTTTTCTGGGAGCTGTTTTGTTTGTTTGGGGGGGGGTTTGTTTGTTTTTTGTTGGTTTTTTTTGTTTGTTTGTTTGGTTTGGTTTTGGTTTTTGTTTGTTTTTTTAAAATACATGTTAGAACTGGTGTCTTTTCATTCTGGTACCTGAAATCTTGAATCTCAGTGTCCTGAACTTCAGGCTTAGGCTCCTTTCCATTTCAAATAAAATCTAGGTAAAAAATACAGTATTTGTGCAGAATCTTCTTACGATGAAATCTTTTTACTAGCAAGTTGAACATTTGGGGATTTGAAGCAAGTAGGGTCAAAAGGTGAGCACATCCAAAGCTCATCTATGCATTACTGGAAAGTCACTAAGGAGTATCTTTCTGCCCTGTCCCTTTTAAAGAAGAAGGCATATACCAAAGCATGAGGTTGAGAGAGTAAATGTAAGTGATAGAGCTGTTGTATTGCACATTTTTAGTAACATGAGTTAGGATGGTCCCTTCACACTTGGTTGGCAATGTCATGAGTGAATATTGCAAGGAAAGACAAATTAGAGCTTAATTGCCTCTTAAGAAATTGAATATGTATCATATAATATTTTCTTAAATCTCTGTGTTATGAAAAATGTAATGAACGTTCACTCAAAAGTTCCTAAATGCCCAGTGTTAAGACAGAGCCTTTATTTACACCTCTGTACATAAATGTGTGTTTGTGTATCTATATACGATTATATCTACATAAAGATTTAAAGTGACACTGGCCTTAATTACAAGATATATCTCTGACAGAGTTTTGTATGATTAAGTCAGGTTGTTTTAGTTATCCTGAATCTGTACATTTAAATACAGACTTTTGAATAAGGAAAAAGTAGTTTGGTTAATTTTAGAAATCTTTTGGGTTTGCTTAAAGCCAACGTTCTGTTCATACCAGTTTTGAAACTTCTCTGTCTCAGTGTTTTCAGCCGTTTTGTAACTCACCTTCACACTTGAGAAAATTGGCAGTGATTCATTTTTCTCTGGGAAATTGGTAATTCCTTCCTTCCTTCCAAATCAGGAGCCTTAAAGGAGTATTTTTAAACTGATTTGATAAATTAGTTCTATAACACAATGCATTGCCTGCATGCATTGCAGACACAAGGTAATAAAATATTACCACTTCTGTTTCTAACCCTGATCAGATGTAGCATCACCTCTTACACTTTTGGTATAAGACTAAAAATTGAACCACAAAAATCTGTCAAATATCTCTTACATGTGAAGAGAGTATAATTTAGTTGATTAATCTTTTAATTTACTTTGGCCAGGTGTGTTGAAAGTGTTTGGAAATTTAGCACTGTCTAGGTAAGGCCCTGTAAGATGGGTTGGGAGGTGGGGTGCTGGCAGAGCTGTCAATGTGTGTGCTAATGTGTCTTATCAGATGGTGCTGTGACGTGGCATATGCTTAAGGTCAGTGCTGCTGCAACATGAATGTATTAGACACCATGGTAGATACCTATATGCAGTGTGGAAAGACCAGAATTTATGTGGAAAATGTAGCTTTTTATTTAAACTACAAAATAGGGTCAAATTGTACATTTATAGACAAATAAAGGAGAGGGTGCTGGCAAGGAAGCGTGTAAGTTCAAAATCTCACTCTGCCTTTTAAGAATGGTGCTATTTTCTTGTCTAGGTCAATCTTCATGCCCTCTTCTAGGTTAATGATCCAGGAAGTGAGTTCATTCTTCTTGTTGATTGTGGTGTAACATTATCTAATCACCATTAACAAATGTGATAATTGGCCAGTATTTTTTTTTTTTTATTGCACATCCTATTCAAGTTGCTTAGCTGTTGTGAGAAAAATTAAACAGACTCAGTAAGGAGAATTTAAGCATTTATGATCGTATTTTCAAGAAATGTCAAAGCTCATACTGCATTTAAGGATCCAAACTGTAGGGGAAATCCTGTATACCCTCTGCTGCACAACAGAGATGAGATTTGATATATACTAAGTTTACTTGGTTTTTATTTTAGATATGACAGTGATGGTTGGTGTCCGCCTTTGCCAGTTCAGACCTACTTACATCAGGGCATGGAGGACGAGCTTGAAGAAGACGATGATCGTGTTCCCACACCTCCTGTCCGAGGAGTAGCTTCATCACCTGCAATCTCCTTTGGGCAACAGTCAACTGCAACCCTCACACCTTCTCCACGAGAAGAGATGCAGCCGATGCTTCAAGCCCACCTTGATGAATTAACTAGGGCTTACCAGTTTGATATTGCAAAGCAGACATGGTAAATGTTTGAAGGGGGCTCCTGTGGTCTGGGAAATGAAAGCATAAGAATACTTTATTCCTTGATGACATAAATATTGGCCGTGTTCAACAATATTGCAGTGATATTTCCAAAGCAGTAAAATGGAAGGAGAAGTAGCAAAACTGTATCTACAATGTCAAGGCCTTAAACATTTGTAGTTGCTTTTTAAACCCTAATGCTTGATAATATGTTAAATCTTGGTTAAAAATACTTTTTAAAAATAACAAACATTCCTCTGGAGTTTTACATATATTTAAGCAAGTAATTAACAGTCACCTACTAACAATTTTATGCAGTTAATTTTTAGTATTTTCAAAAACGTTGAGGTTCTAAATTCCTGATTAAAAATGATGCTAGTCACTTGAAATAGCAATGTAGCAGCTTCAACCCCTCATCACATGAGCATGAAGCATCTGCATCTCTGGTTGTAGTTTGACATACCATGAAAATTTCTGATTCATAGGGAAAAACTCAGGAATAGCAGGAAGGAAGTTGTTAGTATTTACAAAGTGGATCTAGCTTTTTAAAGTGCTTTATGCCTGTTTAAAGGAAGAGCAAGCAAATACCACAGTAACATTTCCCTGCAAAACAAACAGAAGCAATCTCTTCAGGGACTGAAAAAGAACTTGTCAACTGCACCAGGCTGGGGATACGGTGAAGGTCAGTTGCTTTCTGGGTGTTCCCTAAGCAGCAGTTGTCTTTTCACAACTTTTCTGCCCAGACAAAGCCTGCGAATCTCAGAGGAGGGGAGCAGAGCTACTTATTGAATGGCACGCTGCCAGTGAAGGAGCAGCCTTTCTTCGGTGGTAAATAAAGCCACAAAGTTATTCAGCTTGAGCTACCATAAATAGATCAGGCAGGTAGGCAGGCAGTGCCAAATCAAAGCCAGCTGTTTTCCCTGGGCACCATCGGAGCCTCAAGGCTTGTCTGCAATCTGCACGCAAGCAACAGGGCACTTTGGTCCCGCTGCAGAGCTGTGCTGCCAAGCACAGACCCCAGCCTGCCTGTGGGACAAACCCAAATCCCAGGCAGCAGCTAGACCTGGGCTATTGAAGGTAGCTGGCTTCTGAGCCAGCACACAGATGCGTACTCTGTCTGCGCAGTCAGTCACTGCTGCATTTTGCAGCTGTTACCCTTTCTATGCCTTACAAACCATGGATGCTCCTCTGGGAGCAGATGACATAGTAGGACTCTGTAGCACAGCTTCTTCCAGCTGACGTGAAAGGTCTTGTTCCCTTTGATTAGGAACTTTCATAACATGTTTAGGAATATACAGATTTTAACATCACTTTTGTGTAAGGTCGCAGTAATTGAGTCTGAAGTGCCAAGAAAAATATGAAGGTGATAATACTTTTTTCATACTAGGACCTTATAGAAGGTATTGGGATAAATATTGAGGGCTGCAAATGCAAGTGATTTTTGCAGTAATTGTGACATGGAATTGTTTAGTGCTTTAGTATTGTTTGGCTGGACACATATCATACTGTGCAGCAAATTCCGGTCAAAGTCGGTGAAAAGTCCTCCATTGTCTTAAGGGGGAAGGAAGATTTCTTACTTTTCTTTTCACATAAGTTAATCTGTCCAGGGGTGGAGTGGGGAGATAGATAGGGTCAGGGGAGAACAAACAAGATGACACCTGTCTGATAGGTCACTGTAGGAGTAACAGCAGAGAATTATAGACATCAGCCAACTAGAAATTTAAGACACAGCACATTAGAGATTACTGGAAAAGTACATAATCATTATGGCCTTGATCCAGCAAATCACTTAAGTATATCCTTTAACTTACAAGTGCATGAGAAATTGACTTCAATTGTTCTATCTCATGCTTAACATTAAGTATATACTTAAGCATTTTGCTTGATTGGGAGCTAATCACACTGTTTATTGAGGGTTGGTTAGATGCTAGTGCCCTTTAGCACTGTGTTTTGAGTATCAAGTAGCTAAGAACCTGATGTCCAGGCAGAAGACTAGTCAAAAAATGCTAATGAGAAGGGGATTGTGTATTAAAAGTAAAGCATTTTCTCTGCAAATAAGATTCCGAATAAGCAATAAATTAAAACCTACTTCAAGGTGGAGAGATAGGTACAAGTGGTATATAACATTTACCGTGACATTCTTAAATTCTATAGATTTACATTATGAAGGGGGAAAAAAAAAGAGCTTTGAATAAAGAGAATTACTGCGCTTATCAAGGGTAGACATTAACACAGCACATAGTTTTCATTGAAAATATATTAGAGCTAGGAAACCATACAGGTGACAGTTGTAATTTTTTCTGTTACGCTGAGGTCCAAGCGGGAGACCAGCAGAATCCTGGATCCCGTCCAGAGAGCTGCCAATTCAAGTCAGGTCACATCACCTCTTGCACAGCCACCCAAGGATTCCCACATGCCTAAGTTAGCAATTTCAAGCATGGTACATGCTCTTATGCCAAGGTTAGTCAGTCTTGGGTCCCCTGGCACAGCTTGCTGTGTACCTGTAATGTTGTGGAGAACGCTGCATTGAAAGCTGATGGTTATTCTTTTCCTCTTTTCCACAAATGAAACTCCAAGTCCTATGCTTACTTTTGACCATTTAGCTATCCTGTGGGTGTTTTTTAATCTTTGTTTTCTTTTTTTTTAATTGTGATTGCTGCGTGTGGTAATTTCACACATGCATGCCTTAATACTGCTGCAATTAAATCAATTAAACTACTTGGAATAAAGCAAAAGAGAAAGGCCTCACTGATAATGGGTTCATTGGACTTGAAAATTTCTTCTGTCCTGCTGGTCAGGACAGCGACCTGTCTTTCCTCCTCTTTAAAGTGACTTCTGCTTTAGGACATTAAGTCTATTTAAGCAGAAGGAGTGAAGTTTAATTTTGGCTCAACACGTGATTTGCAAGGTGGAATACTGGATGAGACATTTACATGTTAGGTTGGGATTCAAAATTGTGCTTTACTGTGGACTTCCTGCTTGATAGGTGTAGCCTCTGTGTCCATCATTCCTCGTCTGAAAAAGGACAGTCTTGACCTTCCCCATCTTACAGGAGGAGAAGTATATTTGAGAGCAGAAAGTGTAGTATGGTATTACAAGCTATGGTGTATAACTGAACTGACTTTTCTTGTGTTTAACCTAAGAAACACATTTTGTAAATCTTCTTCAGGGATCTTCTATCGACCATGGGGTATAAAGTCTCATCCATTCTGATGCTATTTTCCTCTTTTGTTTGTGTAGGCACATCCAAAGCAATACACAACCTCCTCAGGCTCCAGTTCCGCCCCTAGGATATGTGTCTGGAAACCTTATTTCAGATTTGGAAACAGATGTTCCAGATGATGACGATGATGATGACGACGATGATATTGAAGAAGAAACTGTAGAAATCAATAGACCACTAAGAGGTCTAGAGCATACTCCAGGCTCCAGTATGGACAATCTAGACAGCTCTGTGACAGGTAACCAAACACAGTTAACAGTGACACCAACTTGTTCCTAGCAGTAAAATACATCATCAGTCAAACACTTTCTGAGTGAAAATTTATTCCACTCTATTTCTGTAACATTTAAAATGTGTTAATATTAAACACTAAAGTTAAAGAAGGATTTGAAAATACTTTGCTTTGCTGCAAAATGATAAGAAAATTCATGAATTTTAAAAAGCTTTAAAGACTTGAAAGAAAACTCAATTATAGCCTAGCTTTCATAAAAAAGGTCACTCTACTGGAGAAGCAAGCCAGTTACATAAAAAGGAGGGGGAAGACCTTGGATTAGGAATGTATATTTCATAAATCATGAGCAGCATAAAAATGTTATCTTAAAGCACTTTTGGATATTTTGCTGGGTAAATGTTTTCACAGATGAACACAGGAAATATAGAAGATTTCAGGATAAGTATAGTTAGATCAGCACAGCATTTGTAAATACAACATTTGTGTAGAAAATCTGTATTTTGAACCTACTTTGTACTGCTGATTTTAGTAATTGTTCCCTTTCAGTAAAGATATTTAATTATTCTGACACTCTTTCCTTCACTGCTTCTTGCCCTTTGCATGCCTTGGAAAGTTGCAACAGGGATCATCAAAGGGGACCTAGAAAGGCATGCTGAACCAATTCACAGAATCCAAATGAATAAAATTGCTGTTGATGAAATACAGGCAGTGAAAGACATTTTTTTGAAAAAATACAAATTTTATGTGGACATAACGTGTTTTTTGTAAGCATCAGTATATTTCCGTTTGGGTTGAATATAGGCCTTTTTGTAATATACTGTATCCATAACGTACTGGAAGCCCAAATGTACAGAGTGTTCATAGCTCATAAAAGCTAGTGGGTGTTCCTTCAGTCTTTGATCTCCGTAGAAGAACACTGATTATTAGCTGCACGTTAAGAGAGACTTGCTCAGTACAAGGTATTACCGTGGAGCTGCTGAATTTTATCATTGTTCTGGACCTTTGAAATTCCAAGGATTTTGCATCCTTAATTAAACATTGCTGTTCTGCAAACACTGAAGGAATATGACAATGATGGAACATCAACACCTATAATTTTCGTCCTTTTCCCCTGTTGAATTAAATAGTCTGTAGCTTGATCCCACTTTCCATGTTTTCCTTCACCGTAGAGCCAGACTGCTTGGCAATCTAATTAAGATTTAAGAATTGCATCTTTGCTGCTCCGATTTGAAATCCAGATTAACTGAACGCCATAGAGTTAAAGTTTAAATCCCTGAATTGAGAAGGTTAACTTACTAGTGCATGAGTATGTTAAGTCACTTTGCTTGAATTTCTAGTGTAATCTCCTTCAGGCTATACTTCTGCATACTTTTGCATATCACACTAATAGCTCAGAAGCCTTTCCATTAGGAATGCAGTAAGTGTTTTGCACTGTTAATACAGAAACAAATAAAAAAAAATCAGGTTGCTATATATTTTTCATTTGGTTTGTATTAATATGTCAGTGTTGATATATCTCTGAATCAGAAAATGAATTGTTTTTCACATTTGTATTTCCACCTAATATTTTGGACCACCCTACATAGCACTACATAGTAAAGACAAGCTGCATTTCTGTTCCAATTCGTGACTTCTGTGCTTATTGCACTATATCCTTTTATGGCTAATATTCAAGCTTGTTATAATAACTGTAAATCTTTTTTGGAGTGCTAAATGTTTACTTATTGGAGTGTTACAAGCTTCCTGGTGTATTTTTTTGAAGAAATGGGTCAGAACCTGGTAATGTAGACTGGGAGTGTACATGAGGTGATCTAAATGCACTCCTACTCACCTCACCTCCAACACTATCTTGATGTTGTCTCACCCAGCTGAAAATTAAAGTTTTTCTTTTGCTTGTTTAATCACTAGCTGGATCTGTTCCTTCATCCAGTTCACCACATGGAAAGATGTTTGCCAGCACTTCAGGAAGGGGATGTACAGCTGGAAGGGAAGAAAAATTATAAAACTGTCCTGATAGCATATACCCAATATTTATATTGATTTAAACCAATTACAGAACTAGAACCTTACAAAAATACACCCAGAGTGTTAGTCTAAATGATCTATAAAATGGCAAACTCTCTGAATAAGAAAACTATTTCTGTTTTCCTCAGTTACTATATGGGTAAAACATCAAATTTCTGAGGGCTTGTTTTGGGCTTGTTTTTTCCAGAGGTGGAAGGAAATTGCTGATTATACTTGCACAAATTGTTTTGAAAGAGAATTTTAATTTTTCTATATCTGTTTCTGTTCACTCTTAAAGACTGCTTTTGTCAGAGTTAAGGAGAGCGTATAACAAATTGCATTCATTGTTTCCAAGCTGTGTCTTATTCTTCAATTTGATTGCTTTTAGAATGCTGTAGAACACCTTCATTGCTCTTCCTTGCACTGTGAATATACCAGCTACTTCTTTTCATGGGGCTTTTGGTGACTTAAACCAGCATTTTTCTAGGAATTTATATACCATGTTTTCACTTCTTTAAACATTATATTAAAAAATAGAGAAACAAAAGAGAACATCTGACAGATGAAGCAATATTTCTATTCATTTTGTAGTGCGCCCTGTGAGTTCAGTGTTTGTAGAGAAATCTAAACTGACATCCCTAATGTCAGTTCGAGTTTCCTTCAAATAGAGCTGCTGTAAGGTGAGCAGGGCAAGCTTCCTCACCCTGTGCTGTTGGCATGCTTCAGCAATGACTTGGAGGTGCCCACTCTCCGAGTGAAATGGCACTTAGTTCTTTATGGCTGAGTTGAGACCGAGGTTTTCATCCAATGCCAAGCGTAGGATTCTCTGAGGGGAAACGTTGGCACTGCGTGAGCTGAGCTCAAACTGCCAAATTCTTCTGAAATCTGTGTTACTCCTTTAAACTGTTTAAAAGTCAGGTTGTCTTCCAGGCTCTTGAGTTTTAGTTACAGCTAACTGAAGAGTTAGACAAGGATTTAATCTGCGTTGTTAAGCTTTTCTCTTTGCAGGTGGCAGAGACATAATGTTGACAAGTATAATCAAGTGAAAAGAAAGGAGGAGTGCACAGAAACTATATCTTAATATTTTCCAGATATTACAAAGAAAAGTCAAGGAAGGAGGTTTAAATTTGAATGTTTGAGGGGTGGAATATGAAATTAAAGCTAGTTTTACTTCATTCCCAGCATGGTTTGTTAGGATCCTGAGTTACTGATTTTGATTAAAAAAACAAAAACAAACAAAAGAAGAACTGAAAAGCAGCTGTAAAGTTTCTGCTTGCTTGACTTTTAATTCAGATATTTAGGGTTATTTTTGCTTTCAGAAACACACAGTTTTTTTTTTTTCTTTTCCTTATGTTTAATGTTTGCCCTTATAATGAATTGCTGTGCAGTTATGGCATGAATGGTCATGAAGACTCTTACATTATTTTACTTTAATAGACTTGATTAATTGTGTATGATGACTGTGTAAGAAATCAATTTGCTTCTCACTGGACTCACTAAGGACAACACTAGTTTTGTCAGATAAAAGTATTATGGTTTGGGGATTTTCTTTGCCCTCCTTATCTTGTCCTACCCCAGCACCACCAGTGAAGCTGGTAGTGAGAGATGTTATCTTCAGTCCTGATGCCTTTTGACTGAGGGGATAGATATGTCCATTAACTAGAACGTAAATTAGAACATGTCTTTTTCTACCTAACTGATACAAATGGATATAAGCAGAGAGATAGTCTTCTAACCAGTGCCACTGCAAACAGATAAGTTTTTTGGGTTTGGTGTTTGTTTGTTTTTGTTTTTTTTTACTAGTTTTATATGGATCTGAAAGCATAAAGAACTCCATAGGTTGTATAGCTCAGCAAGGAAGAAAATCGCTGATTTGGCATCTTCTGGTCTTGATTAAAAGAATCACTGATCACTGTCTGTATGGTAAAAGTTGTTCATTCATTGTGTCTGAACACGAAATTACACAAAATCATTTTCATAAGCCATATTTTATCATGGCAGAGTTCAATATTTACATTGATTTGCTTAGGGATACCTATTGCAAAAGATTCAATTTTATAAGCAGTTAGATTGCATTTAATAGGAAGAATGTGTTTCATGGATTAAATATGTGCTCAGAAAATAGGAAACTGCTACTTTTTGTATCTCATAAAAATGGTAATGCAACAATTAGCAGGGTCATATTATAAAGCACAGACTTTACTCTAGCTTAATGGATCTAGGGATATGCATTCATCAGCAACGATGGATTTAGCATAAAACGACATGTAAATGAATTGATGACTGATCATAAATTAATTTTAGTGCTGAAGAAGTAATAGAGACACAGCAAGATGCCACTTTATCATAGTATTTTACTGCTCAGCAGCATTTGAGCAACTACTTAATGTTCTGTGTGCATTTCTCTTCTAACAGCTTGAATAAATTTAAGAAATTTTTTTGCCTTTCAGCAATATGGAAAATAAAAAATCTAGAAAGATTGAAAATGCAAACACAAATAAATTTGGCTAAGTGGCATAAATTCATTTTTCATTAAATGCTTATGAAGGGCATTAATTATGGTTGGACCTGTGAATTGCCAAATATATGTGTATGATTTTTACCTCCTTTTATTTAGCGTATCCTGCCCCAAAATAAAAATGTTTAAACTTAAGGGTTTATTTCAGGTGTCTGCGTTTAAGTATTCGGGCATTTATGGCAAGGCACAATGTAAAGTATAAGATCAGGTGTAATTTTTGAAGTTTTATCATGTTTATATTCTACATCCAGCCCCTTCTATTATTGCTTTTATTTTAAGGGTACAATGACTATAGCCCCTTTTATTCCATCACTTCCACCAAAATCAGTGAACATTCTTTCTTGGTAATCATGACCATAGTCAGATATATCCAGAAGTCTTCCTTCTGTGCAAATGCTAAAGGAATTCTGTAACTGATTTCAGCTGAAGCAGCTTTAGTCCCCAAGGAATTCGTCTGTACTTCTCAAACCTAAGAAGTCTAGCC